AGACGTTTACCTTCTGCGATTGTGCGTTTTCTACAATTTGTTTGTATCTTATGTTCTTTTCTTTGATTGATATTTTTTCCCTTCATTTTTTTCAAACCTTACTTCGTCTCTTCAATCTGTTACGTGCACTTTAATACATTTTTTTTACATCATGGCTACTTAATTCATTCTTGTTGTTGCTTCGTTTGTTTTTTTTAATTCTTCCTCTCCATGAATATATATGCACAAGCAAGTTTGAGTGTTTCGCTCATCACACCACACACGTACAACTTATTAATTCATCATATTATTATTTGTAAAAGAAGAATATGTGTATGCATACCGGGAGAAATAGAGAGAAGAGAGAGAGAGAGGAAAGAGGAAAAACAGTTAAGAGCAGAAATACGTGTTATGTTTAGTGAATGATAGTGCTGGTGACGATGACAACTATCACCGTGTATATACACATATTTTAAGTGTACCTTTGGCAAATCGCCTTAGATTTAATGTATGCAACATTGATTGCGTCTATGCTTAAGTAAATAAATACACATTGAAAAGCAATTCTAATGTTAAAATTGAACGACGAACGAATAAAGTAAGACTTGCTCTTCGTTGCAGGGTATTAAACTATTATGCTACTTAATTTTTAGTTTTTGTTTTCAATTCAATGCAGACAGAGAAAAATTTGGGTGAAAAGTCGGATCGTTTGGATCGTCTTTTTGTACGAGGTATTGAGGCGAAACCATTTGAAAAATGTCTCGTTTCTGTCTGTAATGATATGTGTCTTTGTCGATAGATCATCAGAATTAGACAACATCAAGATTATCTTAGAAATGACCATTGCCAATAGATTAAGTCTATGTCTTGCACAATAATACACAAACAACCAAATTCAATTCGATCGAGCGTGTTTTTTGTTGTTGTTGGTTGCTCAGTATAAAATCAGAAAAGAGAATGTTCAACCAGAAATATACTATTTAACTTACAACAAAAAAGAAATCATAGACGAACGCAACTGAATAAGTTTAACGCGCAGTATAATATTCTGTTTCGGTGCTAGACGCATACTTGCAATCATACCGTATGCTCATACACACATACCTACATACAAAGTACGGTGTGTTGGTTTTGGTTTGTTGGCTTTATCATTTTCGTTTGGTGTTGCTTCTTCTAAAAATGTCTTTAGAAGAGATTTTTATCGGTGTTCGTATGTTACCTGTGCGCTCACTGTGCTCACCTGTGTTATGCAGTGTTTTTGTGTGTATTCGTTCATGTTTGCAGGCCAACAATTGTTTCAGTGTGAGTAAATGATCGAATCTGTGAGTGGAAGTGTGTGTAACTGTGTGTGTGTATGTGTGTGTGTTTGAGTATTATATGTGTGCTCATGAGTGGTCCCGAGACTGAATTGTGGGAAATGTTTCGTTTCGTCAGACAAAGAACAAAAAAAAATACATGAGAATTTGGACAAAAGCCTTCTCTTTCGCTCGTTTGAGCTCTTGCTTGGACTTTAAGCTCTTCTGGTCGTACAGGTATGCGAGATGTCTCCCTCTCTCTCGTTGCGATGCAAAGCATAGTTAACACAAGTAACACACAAAAAATATACACAACTTATAGTTCCCAACACTGGCTATACCTGACTAACGATACAGGCAGCCATGTACCTGTTCTGTTTTTTCTTCTTCTCCGTTTTCTTCTTCATTTGATCAAATTTTATTCGTTCGTGTGTTCGTTGTAGATTTGAAAAAAAAAAACTTTTAAAATTCATGCTTTGCACAACAAATAGACTTTTATTCCAGCTCTGTCTTTGTCTAACCACGTTTGAATGTCGCTTTCTCAATCACGGTGATTCTTTTTTTCTAGTTCTGTATGCTGTAGCTTTTTCGCGTTATGGTTTGTTCGTTATTTTTATTACGCCAGAACGATTAAATAACCTAGGCATAATACCGAAAAATGTTGGCATGGTTTTAACTCTTTCTCTACTGCTCAGAGTTGGTAAATGTGCGCGCACTTACAAGTTGTGTGCCACTAACCTTGGGTGCGCGCACCCGATTCCATATAAATGTTGGGTGCGCGGCGCGCATTTGGATTTTTTCGCTTATTTCAATATAAAAAATCGTCAAAAATGTATTTTTACTTAATTTTTTCCATTTTGATTTTTTTTACATGCAAAAACTGTTTACATCCAAAGCAATGTGGTTAAAAAGACACCCAGCAGGCGGCTACTCGTAGCTGTCAAAATATATAAGAAACACAATTTGACAGTATTTTGTATTGATATATTGAAGATGACCAAATAAAAAATGGAAAGTTTTAAGTAAAAAATACATTTTTTTCAATTCTTTATATTGAAATAAGCAAGAAAGTGCGCGCACCCAACATTTATATGGAATCAGGTGCGCGCACCCGAGAAGAGTTGCACACAACATGCAAGTGCGCGCACTTGTTAGGTGCATTTACCAACTCTGCTACTGCTGCTGTTACAACTACAACTTCTGCTTTTGCCATTGTATGCGTTTAAAAAAGCCAATACACCGTTGGATTCCTTTGTCGTAAAAATTACATCGTGTTGCTTATTGAGCATTGTACAATCACATATTTACATATTTCTATATGAATTATCCAAAAGTAAACTGAGCATAAGCATGCACTCAATGAGAGAAGAGTAGAACAGAAAAAAAAAACAATCAAGACTTTTTCTGTGTGGCTGTTTTGAATGTGCCGCGATAAAATAGTACTTCTATTCTTCATCGTCTTTATGCTATGCGCATCTTTTGCCCGTTTACGTTTCGTTTTTTTTTTCTCCTCTCATTGTCGTCGTTGTTGTATGTGGTTCATACATTATTTTGCAGTTGTATAAATATGTTTTATTTTGTGTTTTTTTTTTTGTTGGATCTGCTCTGTTAATACACATTAATGCACTATGTATGTTTCGCTGTCGTCATTGTGTAGGCTGTTTGTATGTTCGCGATTTGCACATTCATTTTCAACAACAACAGAAATGACGACAGCAATCCATTTGCTTGCTGTATATCTCTCTGTCACATATGAGTGTTATGTGTATGGTCTCGGTCTGAAGAGAAAAAACATCATATCGAATTTGGTTTGATGATCTTTAACAATATGTGTCGCGACATCATAAACCACACGGATGCTGCTTGCATGCAGCGCATTCGCTTTTATGGCTTAGACTGGAAATTATCTCTCACAGTCCGTAGAATATAATTTAAAATGAAAAATATAAAACAATGTGCGCGATCACACGGGCCACTCTCTCATTCGCTTCTATATGTGGCTTTTTTTATTCGAATCCATATTATATATTTAGTGTGTGTGTGCTGCATGGTGTGTTGTGAAGACAAAGTGAAAGAGGTTCTATCTAGTTCACTCTTAAAATAGTATTATTGTTGCGATTTGTAAAGTAAAATGTAAAACATGGGTGCATCGGATATTGCGCGCTCGCGCACACACACACACACACAACAGACAAATTTATGTGCATGCAATTGCATGGCTAGAAATTGCAATGTTATTGTCATTTGTAAGAGATTGAGAGAATTCTCATAGAGAAAGAGAGTGAGACACAGAGAGATCGCGTAGTTCAAGCGAATGAAGTTTGTTGCTGTGGCTTTTTTTCTTTGTATAATGTTGTTGTTGGTGTTCACTATTCGCTTCATCTTAAACGATACAAATCACTCCCATTCATATGCGAAATGAAGCACCGAATGTTAAACAACACACACTCAAGATTTATTGATAAATCATGGAATACTTCGTCGTACTATTGGGCCAAAGCGCGCGCCCGCCAACCGTATGATATAGTCTCGTATTTGTGCCTAGGGGCTTAATTCGAAATTTTCAACGACTGAATTCTATAATAATATCTAAATTAACTGAATTTTTCTGCAAACGAATGAATTCCGGTGAATTCTACGGCGATTTCATTCAAATATGTGAGATAGTGGTGAATAGTTTCTGCTGGCAATTACTGCAATATTTATATTTTGTGTAACAAAATTGTAAATGTTTTTTATATTTTTTTAATAAAAATTAATTTTATTTTCAATTTTGAGCGATTTTCTATCGAAAACAATCGGAAATATTGAAAAAATAATAAATTAAAAAATATTGCGGTTATCATAACCTCACTTTATTAATCGAATTCACCGAACTCATCAATAACCACTCGATTCAAAAGTGTGAATTTACGTGAATTCCTGTGAATTTTTTTGCCGTATTGAGCCCCTAGATTTGTGCCTTGTGCTCATTTTTTTCGTTTATTCATTCTCTTTCTATCTTAGTTTCATTGGTTAGTTTTGGTTTTGTTGCTTTATTTTACAGGTATATAAAATTGATTGCGGATTTTATACTCTATGTGTCGCTGGTGATAAAGTTGAATGAGTAGTAATTTTCTAAATCGCGTCTCTTACGAACACCGAAACATACAACAACAAAAATAAAATTTCCAAGAGCAAAAAACAACGGAATTCTCACGCGACGGTAGGGAAATAAACAAGAAAAAGAACAAGCTTGAATATTATGTGCGTGTATGTGGTGTGTATTATCTCGTCGACAACTGACAAAAATGATAATGGGTCGCGCTCATATCGATGATGGTCGCCCGAAAATAATTGCGCACTTGAATCACTTTTTCTCGCCAATCGTTTCCACGTGCTAATAAATTGAATTTTATGGCCTGAACCGTGACAAAAATTACACACACACACACGCGAAATAAACGCATACTATTGGAAGCGACCTCGAAAAAAAGCTATATCGCCAGAACGCCAAAGCGATAACGATAAGAAGAAATAAAAAAAGCATGTCTAAACGCCTCCACAATTGATTGCAACAACTACAATCAAATTTATGTACCTTTGGACAATCTTTATCGGAGCATCGGATTTTAGTTTTTTGTTTTTATTGTTTTCATTACACACACGATTTGCAATTGATTCAGTTTTTATTGCGATAAAATATAATAAATGATAGAAAAGAAAGTCATCGGTTTCAGTACTTACTCTAAGTAGTAGATTTGTCCTTCTGGCGTTCTGGTTTGTTCCCATCCAGGTGGAAGGTCACCCAATTCATCTTGTAATTGTATCGAACTGACTATGTCATAGGAACGTTGCCGATTGTGGATGGGTTGATTTGCAGCCGCTTGAGCTTGTTGTGTTGTTCGTTTGAACATGTTATTTTCAAGTGGTGAATCCACTTGATTGATGTTACGATGACAGCTTGAATCAAGTTCTTCTGGCACACGTTTCGCTGGTGTCGTTTGTTGATGTTGTGTCGACTGTTGTACCTGTAATACCCGGAGCATGCATGACAACGAACAAAAAAAAGCAGAAACGAAAACCAAAATATGAGCATATTTTGCAGCGAAAAAAATGTGATTTTGTAAAATTATTTGCATCGTTCATAGTGACTAGTATCTTTTCATGTCACCATCGACAACAAAATAACAACTCAACAAACGATTTTCGACATTGCAAGTGTTTCGAATTGCGCAAATGAAACCACAATGTGTGCACAATGAACACAGAGATCAGAAAGGAATCAATCGAATGCAATCACCTCCAATCTCTATGAATTAGCATTAAATACATTCTAATTTATAATACGCAAAGATAAACAATGGATTGCAATGGGTTTACGCTAGCAAACGTGTTTGGCAAATGAAATATAATACACGAACACGTTACTAAAATTGTTGTTTTTGTTTTTCGTCTAATGGTAAGGCATATGAATTTCGTATGAATAAATTTTTTGTAAACATTCTTGATCAAATCAAAAGATAAAAACGAACTTTGAATGCACACCACACCTATTTAGTCGAATAGAAATTAGAATTTCACTTCAATAGAAAAACGAAACTGCACAACGGCCCAGTATGATTCTGTGCACAAAGCAGAGAATTTTTCGATATCTGCGTGTATGTGATTCTGTTTCTTTGCTACTTAAGAAGGATAAGTTTACGCAATATTACTGCTTTTAATAAAAAAAATATATATTTTAGTTTATTTGTTTCTTCATTCGTTCGTTGATTGTCGTTGGTCTTTTTTCTTTTCAATTAATACTGTGCAAAATGTACATCTATGCATATGAACGATTGAATGGAATATAATACATACCTGTTGTGCAACAATTGGATTTGCATTTGACTGTTGTGCAGCAGCGGCAGCACTTAAGCCAGCATAAGTTTGTTGCAATGAAGCTGGACTGCTATGTGCACGCGAATGTGAAATTTGTAAACGACTGGTAAGCGGATTAATGATGGCCGTTGTTGCGTTTGTTGTGTTGCCATTTAATTTTGTAGCGCCGGTGGCACCGTTGCTATTGCCGCCAGCACCATTGACTATATTATTACCAGCAGCACCGTTCGGTGAACAAATGGTGGTGGTGCCCGAACCAAATGCTGAATCAACGGAATTTTCACGTGTATGCGATACGGATGGTGATTTTGATCCGGTTGATGGTGGATTAAAAAATGAATCGGGCAAATTTCGCATACGAAATGGTACTTGTAATGGTCGTGCCTTTTGATTTAATGCCATATCGAATAAAGCTTGTAAATTATCGGCCGAATTTTCATCAATGCGAACGACCAAATTCTCATTGGCCGCTGCAGCCGACTGTGAGCTGTTGTTTGGCGTTGATGTGGTTACAGTGCCACCAGCCGCACTGATTACCGACGAATTCAGCGTATCATTGGTCGATGCATTGTTTACATTTGTAGCGCTTACATTTGGACTATTTGCTGTGCTGCTTATGTTGTTCAAAGCCATGTTTTTTGTTTTGTATGTTAAACGATGTCGTTTTAAAATTCAAATTTTAAATTTCCACTTCTCGCTAAAGAGAATGAACACGGTGACCGTTTTATGTCGTACTGTTTTAATCCTTTTCTATAATTCAATAGACAAACAGACACAGTAAAATTGTGTTAAACAAATTCAATTGTGTTCAGTGTCGCACGCGTTTTTAACGTTGATATGTTTTTACTCCTTTTTTTCTAATTGACCGCGATTGTTAGCAAAATGTTGCGACCAATGAGCTTTATATTGCTACTTTGATGTTCATTTGGTATATCTTTTCTTTCGCCCTTTTTCTTATTGTTGACTGTGTTTTTCGTTTATTTCGCAAAGATTATGCGTCTTTTTTTGTGTGTGTGTGTGTGTGTGCTTCTTGTTTTCAAGAATTTGTAGTCGTCTCTCAACTAGACATGTTGCTGTTCTGCTGATGCTACTGTTATTGCTGACGCTGTGGCTTTTCAGAGCTAGAGTATACAATGTAGGAAATCTGCAATTCCACAATGCTAAGGCACATTAATTCGTGTTCATACCGCATTCACAGAACAATAAACACAGAAAAAAGAACAGATTTTTTTTTTGTTGCTGCTGCTGTTGTTGTCTTCGTCGTTGTTGTCGTTGTGCTATTTTCATTCACATTTCATTTTATCACATATGAGTTCTTCTCGCATTGCGAATATATATATACACAAACTTCGATTTATATCGTGACCGTTGAATTTTACCATAAATTTCCTCACTTAAAATAGCAATTCTACTGATTTTCTCTCTTTCTTTTTTTCCGTCCTTCTCTCTATATTCCACCAAAAAACGGGAGAGAAGACAATCTTTTAATGAGCAGTTTATGTGTGTGACTTATGGTTAAATTTTATTCATTTCTCTTTTCCTCTCGCTCTTTCTCCCTTTGCTTATTTTGTTTCTTTGGCGAATAGTTATTGTCGAGGCACTTAATTCCAAATGTAAAACTAGAAACAAATTAACCAAACAATAATTAAATTGTGTTTAACACCTCACACGCGCACATCTTTCAAACATTTTTTTTTTATGTTAAAATATCTTATTGTTTCGATTTATTTTTCCTCTTTCATTCATTTGTTTTTCTGTGTGTGTTTCTGTTTTGAATTTTACTCAATACGATTTGATGGTGTTTGTGCTAGGAGCCTTTTGAATTCATTTTCAATGTTTGAATTCTTCTCTATTTTTTTCTATATTGTCTCTTTGCGACCATAGTTGAAATGGTTCAGCATTGGTTGTGCATCCACAAAAATCATTTGAGATGATAAATTGTCGTTAAACTATAGATCTGTTGGTTTTTAGTCTAATGAACAACAGTCGCAAATGGATTTTGTGGAAACTTGCAGAATGCCAATGCTGTTTCAATCACTCGATATAGTAAAAATCATACAATTATATTCAAATGGTGAGTTTGAATATTTTTAGATTCTTCATGAGTTTTCTTCAAGGATTGAATAAAAGTCCCTACCTCCTCGTGATCATGCATGAGTTGCAACATTGCTACACAATGATCAGCTGATGTTTGAACTGACAACGTCCTTCTGTCATCGGTATGGACAAACAATATTTCAGCTAGTCCGGTGACAAATTCCGGTGAATTGAAAGTTACCACATAATCATCGATAACAATTGTCGCCAATCCCATTTTCACACGATAAACAGACCCCATGTGCCATATTATTTGTAGTGCCGATAGACCGATGACACATTTTGGTCATAGATTTGCTAATGCAAGTGGTGCGGCAGGTGCTATTCAGCGCAATTGATATAGAAACTTAATCAGTTGTCAGAACTTTGATTGATTATCATGGATTTTAATCTCGTTTTTTTTACTTTCAATATGAACTGAAAATATGGTTTCGCGATTGAATTTATCATTTTATTTCTCTCTTCATTCTTTTCGTTATCAAATTGGAGTTCTCTTTATGCACACACTCATACACTCGCACATTTTTAATAGACTTGATGGTATTTTCGTTCAAATCATATCATTTCATTCGCATCACTTGATCAAATTTCTGGCTGTCATCGTTTGCATTTTTTTTGAATTTATACTCAAAATTGAATACGTGTATGTATTCATGTTGTGCTTTTGGCTTTATATACATACACAGTGCGCTGTTTATCAGTGTTTTACTTTCTTGGCCATTTTCATTAAATATTAATATATTTATTTATTTTATTTTTGTGTTTAAATTGTTGGCAAGGTAGAAAAAAAGTAGTAACAACAAGAGAAACAACGTCAACAGTGGCAGTAGTAGCGGTAAACGGAGGGCAGCAAAATAAAAAGTGAAGTGAGTGTGAGCCGTGGTATATATTCTCTTTATGAAAATGATAGGAACACCCACTATTTAGCATGTGAATTTATTCATTTTATATATATTTTTAGAAAAATTGTCGGAGAGCGTGGCAAGAAATGAAAGAGAAGAAAATATAATATGACAGAAGCAGCATCAACGATCGGTGATCGCGATGAATCCTGTGACGTGTTGTACTGACGAAACAACAAGATAGAGAAAAAGAGAAAGAGAGAGAGAGAGTAAAAAAGCTTGGACAATGTAAGCGATCGCTTACATTCTCAGCTTGAAATTTTCGCGATTTTTTTTCTCAATCAATTTGTCGATCCGAAAGTTTAATTGACACAATTGAGAAAAGAAATCGGTAGTCCATATCGAATGTTGGATAAACACTAAAAATATATAAATTTCATCTGCGCACAACAATTAAAAAAAATGAACCCGCACACTGTATGACGCAGACGAGTCACAAATATGGACTTTTTGGCCAAATTGAATACTAACAATTGCAACTCGAGAGCATGACAATTAATGGTGCGTATGATGCGCACGATGGCTTAACTCCACATACCAAATATTACTTGAATTTACTTCGATGCTTTGCACAGCGTATCTATTGTTTTCATTATTATTTTTTTTTTTTTTCATATTTACACATGACAAACAAGTGAACATGAATAAAATCGATGATCGATGAAGCTTACGCTCATATTTTCGAAATAAATTAGCCGGTTTTCTATGTTATTATATTTTCAAACGATATTATTTTTCATCCAAAACATGTGTTGTTCAATTAAAATAGATTTTACAGATTCAGGTACCTCTTGAGTTTTACATTTCGTTCGTATGAAATTCGTTCGAATATATTATCTAGCGAGTCATTGATTTGCCAATTTTAGTTTGAAACAATTATCGAAAATTTGCATATCGTAATCAAATTCAATTTAGAACTATTGAATGGACGATCGAGATTTGGACGTGGTGGATACATGAAAAAAAAAACAGTAGCACAAACATACAGCATTTTGTTATAAATACTTCTGGATAGAAACGAAACCATCGATGAATTTATATAAACAACAAAGAGAAAAAAATGAGTAAACAAGAGCAACAACAGTAATTAAACAGTAAGAGAAAAAAAAGTATATACAAAAAAAAATTGATGCACGATCGTATCGAGAGGAAAACACTAACACACACAGATCGTCGTTGACTGTAAAAAAATATACCAAACAAAACTAACAATACGAATCGCACGTATCGATTTGATTCTTTTCTGTTTTCTTCGCGATCAGTTCTTTTTATTATTATTATAATGTTTTGTTTTTTATAATCAATGAAACGCACAAGAAAAGTATTTAAAAGAAAAAAAAACTTTTTTTTATTGAGTGGCAACAGAAGGAAAGAACAAAAAAAAACACACACAGCTATTCCGTGCTCAGCCCGATACCTGCTTTAACTTGACTGAAATCAAGTTGCGATTACGATTCACTATGAGCCTCACAACGTATAAAACAAACAGCAGCGCGGAACGTTTGCTTTGGATACGATTGTCATTTCGTATACACATACGAACGTTTGTTTGCATGCCGTGTGCGGCGGCGGTGCTGCTGTTGCTTCTCCTCACACTGCATACACTACAGCGCATTTATATGTAGAAAGAGAGAGATAGAGAGAGAGAGAGAGAGAGAGAGAGAGAGAGAGAGGGAGAGAACGACTCTGTAGCGTTGATTCATTATACACATGAGAAGCGCACATAAGAAACGACGAAAGAAGTAAACACAACAACATCAACAGCAGCAGTAGCATACATAGTACACTTTTCCTGTTTATTCGCTCATTTTGTGTATTGGATTTCCAATCCGTTTTTCTGTCTAGAATAAAACAACTAATAAATACATTACGATACTCTATGGTCCGAGTAAGCAACCTAGAGAGACCAACCGACGAAAAAAAAACCGTACAAAGCAATATGAGAACTATTCACGGCTCGATTTCTCGCTCGTTCGGTCCGTCTCTTTTACATTTGTATTTTATGCACAATACACAACATTGTATATTTGCAGCAGAATCAGCGAATTAATAAAAGAAAATGATTTTTTATTAATGTTTATATAAAGTAGCAGCAAAGAGTTAAAAGTAAATCAAATTTAATGCATAAAAATTGTTCGATTCAGCCAAAAAACAAAAACACAGAACGCAACAACGACCGACTGACTAAAGAATGAGCTTCATTGATAGTGATCGCCTTTTTTAAGCTGATTGAGCACATTTTTATTGTTGTTCTATTCATTCTATCTCATAATGAATGAAAAATCTTTTATTTATTAAACTCATTTCGGTGCCATGGCAAATGTTTATATCTTTGTAAAATTTTTAAAATACAACATTACTCTCGGTATGGTTTTTTGTTGTTGTTTGTAATTAAATGTGTATATGTAATCGTGGGATGCATTTGTTATTTTTGTTGTTGTTATTGTTGTTGTTTCTTTGCGCAGTGGCACGAGTGTGTGAAACATAATTGCAAGAGTCAATTCATTAGGATAAAGGGCTGGCCATTCGAACGCATTGACAAAAATAAAAAGAATATAGAGAGAGAGTGTGTGTGTGTGTGTCTAGCGCGTTTGCTACGCGTTATCTTTGGCGGATAGAGAGAAAGAGTTGTGCTCAGCACACACAATAAACTCAGTCGCCAACTAAATAAACAGAAGTTCGTTCACATTTGTCTACATGTTGATGTTAAAATCACTGCTGTTTGATCACAATTCTCTCTCCCGCTCTCTTTTATGAACACGATGTGTACATATAAAAATTTTGAATTATTGTTGTTTTGTTTTGTTCAAAGGCACACTAGACCATTTCGAACGGGCAAAACGGGCGCACGCAAAGTGAATTGTGAATGCATATTGCGCCAAAATAAAATTAAAAAAAAAGAGAAGAAATAAACGATCAAACAAACAGCCCGAGCGCCCAAAGTGACAAGTTGAGTGATTCAAATAGCGCTCACACACTTAATTTTCAACGAACGATACAAAGACGGAACTTATCGCAACTATTCATCTCTTTCTATCGGTTCGTGTATCCGAAATTGTGTATGCGCTCGCTCTTTTCGCAGTTTGGCAGCTCTGCTTTTCTAGAGTGAACATAGAACCAAAAATAAAAGCGATATCGTTGATCGCGATTCATTTATCCAATGTTCGCGATTGTGTATGTGTGTGTGTGTGTGTATGATCATCATACAATGTTAAATATATGTTTAGATGAGAATAATTACGTTTACGATTGCGTCGCGACCATACATACACATACATCCATGCGCGCAAATGCTCAATACATCCATAAAGAATTTGCACATTTGCTATTCATTTAATAACGTTGATGTTGTTGTTGTTCACCAAATCCTTTGTCTTTCATTTTTCGAATTCGAATACTAACATTATTACCACATTGTGTGGTGCGCTTTACCTTAAATTTCACGCGATTCGCCATTGTCTCATGAAGAGTATCGTTTTATTAATTATGGATTTATTTTCGTCAAATTTGCACAATTATCAGTGCCCCAACAAAAACAGCAGTTTCACTACCTGACCGATTAAATTCGACGTATTCGCCCAAAGTTGTTGTTATTGTTTTTATTGTTTTTAAAATGATATTCGCACCATCAACGATTGAAGCAAAGTAAATATATACACAAATTTCGAGTTTCGACCGACAATTTATACATATATATCGCGTGAATTGGTTGAAAATGACAGATAAACATAAAATGTCTCCGGTAACGTCGCGAATAATCATTTCGCACCACAGAAATTGGCCATTTAAATGAAAACAAAGCAATTTATTTTGTGTGTTTTTTTCGCTCTCTCTTTTAATTATTAATAAAGCACAAATATTGGCTTACGAAACAGTTGTATGTGCTGTGTATATGTTTGGAAAAACAGCTGAATTATTATCATTATCATCGAGTCCACACCTTTCCGATATCAATATTATTTATTATTTTGTTTCTCTCTTCAAACAATTGATTCGATGACACTTGCACAAAGTGTGAGAATGTTTATGTTTCAGATCTCGAAATAAAGCGAGAAAATGAAGTATTATGCTGATGAGCGCTAGAAAATTGCGCTCATAATACGATAAACAAACGAAGAGATCGTTATTTAGAACCATATTCTCAATTCTTTTGTTCAATACATATGACCATCCACGACACTTCTGTACGGTGTCACTTTTTCATTGAACAGTGACAAAGAACGAAAAAAAAACAGTCACATTGCACACTCACATCTTATAAAGCGCAACGAAAACATAAAAACCGACACTTATATCTAGTGTGTCGTCAGTGATCTGGATTACGATTTATTAGGATGATTTTTTTTAATCTTTGAATCACCATCGCCGCTCTGCACAAAGGAGAATTGATCGCAATAAAAGTTCGGAAACATTTAATTTTAAGCACCTATTAAAGTGAACGAGAATCAATTAACCTGCATCTTATAAAATAAGTCACATTTAGATATCTTGATACACTTATTCATTAGCAAAGGTCTAATTCAATTTGTCTGTGGTCAATTATATTGAAAAATAAAAGGAATGAAGCGCTTTTTTAAAATTATTTTTCATAATGAATAAAAGAATATTTAGAGATTCATTTGACCTTTTTTGTTTGAATAAAACGCCTGACTGTAATTTAAGTCCCCTAATAAGCAAATATAGTTAACCGAACGCAATTTGTGTACAGTCCTTATGCATTTCAACTGTAATGCAATTTTGGCCAATATCGATATTTTTCTCGTCGATAATCCATAGTTGGCTAGTAAATTTTGACTGAAACTAGGCGAAAGTATGCCAAGCGATTTTACTAAATATTATTTAGTAATATGAAAAAGAAAATTGAAGAAATGTCTTCTCGCCAACTTAATTCTCTAAGAAATTAATAATTTCTTTGTAAATTAGTAATTTTAAATCACCGAATTTGATTTAGAATTATTTTTACTAAAAATGTACTTCAGATAAAAAAAATATTGTTCGCTAAATAAAAAATAATAATTTTCATATCGATAATTCGAATTAAAATATGTTACAAAAATATTGGTACGGTTATTTAATTTTGAACAATGAACATATTGTTTTAGTTCACGAGAAAAATCTAAAATAAGAACATCTACCATTAAATTTAGAATAAACATAAACATTTAAAGTTGAATATTTTAAATCTTAAGTAGTCGGAAAGTACATGCATTAAGTACGTGACTGAGTTAGCAGCAGTATATGCCAACTAACTTCATGCGATTTGAGACCGAAACGTTCGGCTGTCAAATCCATTTGTGCTTGTCATTTTCGTTTACTTGCAACTTTTACAAATCGTGCATTCGCAAAGCAATCGAATTGGATTTAACTTTTTACACATTTTGATTCATTTAAAACTTCTCAAAAAATCATCATGGAATTCATGTCAAACGATTGGTTAACCGCCAAAGAAAGTACCGGTGTAAGTATATATTGATAATTAAAATGAAATGGCTTCATTTGAAAATAAAAATAACCCAAAACTAAATGTGAATTATGTTTTTGTATGGCACACGCAGACAACAATTATGGCCGTAGAATTTGATGGTGGCGTTGTAATTGGCGCTGATTCACGTACATCGTCTGGTACATATGTTTCGAATCGTGTTACGGACAAATTGACTCGCATTTCGGATAAAATATATTGTTGTCGCAGTGGTTCAGCGGCTGACACACAAGCAATTGCCGACATTGTTTCATATTCTCTCAATTTTCACGAGTAAGTAAAATACGTTGCAAAATTTTGCTTTGCGTGCAGTGTTCAATTAGTTTTATTATAATTTCGGTCGAACGTTTATTTCGTAAAATTAGGAATCAAACTGGCGACGAACCGTTGGTAGCCGAGGCAGCAGCTGAAATTCAAAACTATTGCTTTAATTATCGTGATCAATTGTTGGCTGGTATTATTGTTGCTGGTTGGGACAAACAGAATGGCGGTCAAGTGTATCAAGTTCCATTGGGTGGCATGTGCATTCGACGTGGTTATGGAATCGGTGGTTCGGGCAGTTCATATGTACATGGTTTTATTCGCGAATTCTATCGGGAAGGCATGAGTCGCAATGAAACTGTTGAATTTGTTAAGAAAGGTAAATCAAACAGCTTGAATATTAGATTTTTGTACGCAAAATCTCTGTGTGGGAAAAAATGCATATTAATTGATTTAAAATGTTGCTTGTATTTTTAGCTATTTTTCATGCAATGTACTTTGATGGAAGCTCCGGCGGAGTTTGTCGCATTGGAGTCATTACCAAAGATGGCATCGATCGTGATGTTTTCTTCGCACCAATTGATCCAGTGCCCGCACAATCAGCAACTTCAACTACTTCTGCTGTACGATCTTAAGCATCGGATTATCTTTCTTTTTTTTAATTCAAACAATTCAGTTTTCTAACGATTTAATGAACACTATATCGATAAAATTTGGCCAATAAAGAAAAGACAAAACATAAACAAGACTCTCTTTTTACTATTTATAGATATAATGAATTTTGTTTAATTGATTGCTTCGATTTTTTATTAGTTTACTTGTACAGCTCAATAGTGTAGCGTTTCCGTAGCAGTATTGATATTTTTCGGATCGGTAGATCGTCTTGTCGGCTGTACTATCATTTCTTATAGGAAATCAGCATTGATGAGTGAATTTTCGTGTGTTACCATTGCTGATAATACCCTTTTTCAATTAGCTTCATTTTAAATTACGATACTTTTTCTTTTCAATGATTTTTTTTAAAACGTTGATTATGATAATGTTGTTTACAACAATTAAATGATTGATTGATAATCCATTTTGGTGACAAGTTTATTTGAATTCACCTTTGGGTCAATAATAATATGTGCAATGCAAGTATGGACTGGTGCTCAGATCCACCTAAGATAATTCAATACTCAAGATCGTACAGCAATTGTTGCTAATCCATTTCAAAGACCATGAATAAAAATTCTACCTTTTAGATTTGTTTATTTATTTATTGTCTGAATGTTGGTTATTTACAGGGAAAAAGAGTGCCAAAGCCTAATTAAAAACTAAATTTTTTCAAAGCTCATGTTGACATGAATTATTCAGCACGATCCATTATGATTAAAAATATACTCTAAAAAAAAAGAAAAACAAACAGAAAATGAAAAATAGAAGAGAAAGATTGATTAATTTCTGTGAGAGTAAAATGGATATTAAACGTGCAACACTTACTTCCACCGCGATTATTTTCTGCTCGCATTGCACCAAAACTAGGAAAATTTTGTGGTCCGCCACTTTTTAAGTCTATTGCACAGATTGTCCCAAAGGCGAATTCGAATAGACTTGCGATTAGTACGAAAAAGAAAATTACGATTTTCATTTTTGCGAATTCAATTTAGACGTTACAACGCTGAACAGGTATTTATACCATTTTACGCAGAAGTGTAATCTGTTTACAGAATCGCCTACATTGCATTTTCCAATTGCAAACGATCGTGATTTCCATCAATCAGGTTATTGTTGTAACCAACATTATCATTATCACAATCAAATTGGAAATTCCGATTCGAAATCAACGTTTGAAAAAAAAGATGTCGTAATTTAAAATATATGTACATTTATTGAAAACAAGCGATTATTTCAAGATTTCCTCATTAAAAAAATAAATAAATACGACTGTCAATCTAAGGGAGCTATACAGCTTGAACCATTTTCTATTCTTTGTATATTTTATTGTAATTGTAAATACAAGATTTTGATTTGAATTAAATTGAATTAAACATTTGGGATAACATTTATTGAACTTCATCGAAATTCCGCAAAATTTCCAACTCCTCTGGCATCGCATAAATTCGAAGTTGTTTTTCAATTATTAAATCTTGGAGATGGGCTAACTCTTGTGGCACATACACCGTTCCATCCAAATAAAGAGCCTGCAAAAGTACGTTTATATACAATTAGTTTGCTGTATTTGGTATATAAAATTTCATAAAATGTTACCTTATTCCATGGACATTCGTTGAGTGCAGTCAATAGAATGTTTCGACATTTATCAAAATCATTGGAAACATCGAGCAAACTCCGTAAATAGAGACGCCATAGTAATGAATTTTTACGAGTGGGTGCCTCGTGATCGGTGAATTTTTTCAGCAAATTGGTGATACGTGTTTTGTATGCGTTTTCAATGTCTTTGACATCGGCTGATAAAACATTCAAATACTCCAAATCGATGGGCTGTAATCTTTGGTTCTGATCAAATTGTGTTACTGCATATTTTTTGTATCGAAATTGAGCAGCAATCACTAGAAACATAATGGCAATTGGTGAATGGTGTTTAACTAAGAGGGCGCGTATGCGATGCCACGGTTGATTATGACACATGGCAGCACATTTGAGTAGATGCATATTTGTTGGAAACTCTTCAATTCCCCGGCTTATCATGGTGAATATTTCATTTTCAGCGGTAAGCGTAACTGAACTTGAACATTTTGCCAATTTGTACAGCAATAAATCAGCGTACATTTCGTACAATTGTTCGCGAATAAATTCGTGTCGTGCATTTTTCTCGGGGAATGATTTAAGCAATACTTCGATTTGTTTAACAGCATCCACTTTTGATTTACGCCACAATATTTTATGATAAATATTCGATTTTATTACACAAATCAGGTAGTCGGGTTGAAAGCTCTGTGTAATATCCATAATGGTTACATTTCGTTCGATGAAGCACATGTTTTTTAGGCGATCGTCCAATTTTTTTGATGCCAGCAAATTGGATGCTTCGCTAATTTCACAATTTTCATAATCATTTGCATCGATCTTCTTGTCCAGTGCAATTGCATTGAGTAAATTCAATGCCTTATTCATTTGTTGTTCACGAATCAGCATTTCAATCAGTGATATGCATACATACCAGTATTCGGATCGTGTACAATCATCATCGACGGCCGGATTACTTTGACTTATTGCCGCTATGTAAATATGTTCAGCTTGTTCGATTCGCTTTAAGTCGTATTCAATTTGTGCAAATTCAACATAAAATACCAAACAATTTCGGTTCTCGTCGCGTTTTAATAAATTTTTGATTTTCGTTCGAAGTCGTTTCGTTTTATCTTCGTTCCATTTATTCATATAGACATCGAATGCCATCACAATTCGTTCCAATCGTAACAATAGCAATACGAAAATATTTCGTTTATTCGATTGATCCGTTCGATTTGTATAACATTCAGCGCACAATAGCAGTATTTCTCCCAAATATTTAATGTACAATTCATGTCCAATGTGTGTTGTTATGAACGACGGTCCAATGCTGAAATCACGAATCGTACACCATATAATATCGTCGAATGTTTTATTTGAATGCAATATGGTTCGATGCAAAAAGATTGGCGTGATTTCTTCAATACAATCAAAATCACAGAGATTATCACAATTGTTGACAACATCATACGAATTGAATATGCTCGCTTTCAATCGACAATTGTCGAACAATGGAATTTTCAGCAGCCTCAAAACTATTATCACCAAATTGAATGCATACTCTCGATTCGACAATGGATATATATAGTGGTAAATGTCTTCATTTAGTACAACACGTTGCGGATCACTACACGATCGATCCATTGGACATGGCAAAAAATAATAATTTTGTCGCAATTTTTCAACTCGCAACCATATTTCATTCATTGGCAAACCGGATTTCAACACAATCTCTTCATATTCGATCAATGAATTTTGATCCGATTCTTTCGATTGAACTTTTGAAAATTTATTTTCGCTCACATTCAACTCGAGGGCCAATGTTAAAAGGGCAAAAAATTGCTCACTCAATCCCGATTGACGCAGAAATAATGCGCAGCTATTGAAAAGTCCTACAAATTGAAATAAAGAAGAAAAAAATCGTTTTAAAAAACCATGGCTAAACTTGGCGATTTTATCATCGTAAAGACAACAAATTTACTCACTAAGTGTTACTTCGTTGCATCGGTTTCGTTTGTACATATTTTTCATACATTTTTCATACAATGCCATTACGTCGGGCACACGGCAACGTGCCATCGAGCCTTGCGTTGACATTATTTGAGCATTCCATAGAGTATAATTGGCTGGATCTGAAAATGAAAATTATGAAAATATAAACATTTTTGGTGAATGTACAAAAGTTTTCGCTTCGAATGTTCATACCTTTTTGTATGAGAGCGTCCAAAAATTTGCTCACTTCAAATGATGGATATGCTTGTTCAAGAATGTCGATATATTCGCGATAAAGTCGTTCGTTACTCGGATTATCCCGTAGCGCTTTATTCAAAAGTTCCATTTTTCGTTCGGCCAATTGCACTTTGGACATTTTCATATAGAAATGTTCTTGAAAACGAATAAATTCCAACCACAAATCAATGTCGGTGGAATTTGCTAATAAATTCTTGTTGAGAACTTTGGTGTTCGCTGTAAATTCCTCCTCAGTTAGTCGATGTGTCTTGGTAGTAACCTTTTCATCATCGACAGTCACCGGTGGACCATCTTCTTTGGTTTTTTCGGTTGACGACGATAATTTGTATTTTGTAAAATATCGTTTGGCCTTGTCTTTGGATCGTCGGTGTAATATTCGCCATTGTTCCGATGTTAATGTGCCAACATGATGAAAATGTATTCGATAACGGGCTGCATCGCCTTTCTTCAATGTATCCATTGAATAGTAGTTATTACACGGTTTTTTATCTACATAATAATCTTCTTTGCCTGTAAATTCCAGCTTTGGTTCAATTTTTTCGGTTACGATGGCGGCAGTGGTGTCAATTTTCGCTCGTTTCTCTTTGTGATGTTTATGATCTTTTTTCTTTTTCTTTTTCGAATGTTTTTTTGGTTTTGGTTGCGATGGTTCATCTTCGCTCGACTCAATTAGCTCAACATCAGCAACGTCGATTCGTCCTTCATTTGATATCGCTTGAAAACTTGAATTTGCCAGCCAATCTTGTTTTTTCTCTGAACAAATAAAGAATTACAAGCATACAGTAATTTTTTTTTTATCGTTGTTAATTTACCTTTTTGCGTTGAGGTTGTTGGTATTTCATCAATTTGTGAGGTACTGGCTATATTTGAATATGCTGGAAACAAAGACATTTTTATCGTTGATGAATAAATAAAACCCTTTTTGGCACAATTAATACAAACGAAACAAAAGTTCTTCTTAATGTTGTTTGCACTTTGACGTTCATCAACGTTTTACTTTGACAGTTCACCAATACACTTGCATGTCATAAACAAGCATACTGTACTATGTCTAAAACATCATTTTGTCTCTTTCTATTTTGACAGATCGGTAAAACGACCGAGAATAAACATAAATTCGCACGTGTATCGACATTAGTCGATCAATGAGATTCTATGATTTTACTATTCTGAAATTGAAGTGAAGTGATTTTTATTAAAATTAATAGTTTTGGTTATATGATTTAAAAAAACAATTAAATAAAAAAATGGGCAATCGAAACAAGAAAAAGCCTGTTGAACGACTTAAATCACGCAAAGAAGTGCGAAAGGACAAGAGACTTCAGAAAAAAGCGAATCGAGTTCATTTTCAAAAACGAAAAAAGGAATTGAAAATTGAATATAAAGAACGAATGAAGCAAAAGAATCTGGATAAAAAGGGTAAATTGAATGGAAAATTACCGACTAAAGAGAAAAAAATTGAAAAAACAAGTGATGAAGAGGATTTCATGGATGACGAGCATTTTGATGGTGGCGATGATGAGGAAATTGAATCCGATTTCGAGCTCAGCGATGAAGAATTAGAAATGAAAACGAAATCCATGTCTAAAAGGTAGGTCACCATATTTTTGTTTTTGAAAATGAACAAAACGTAATGATGTTTCTTTTTTCAGTAATCCTGCCCCAAAGGCAGCAGCAACACAATTAGAACTGGACCATCAACGCTTAAAGAAGCAAGAGCAGTCATTGCGAAAAGACATGGGCAAACAGCGTGTCAAACAATTGAAAATGGCAAATGAAGAGGAAGACAAAAACATTCACAAATTGGAAAAACTATTGAAAATCGATAAAAACCGGAGTAAAAAAACAAAAGGCGTTCCGAAGATGTTCTACGATGGTTTAGACTATGCATTGGAAATGTGTTTACCGGAAAATATTGAGAAAATGTATACAGCTGCGAAAGAGGCTGCCGATGCCGATCAACAATCTGATAGTGAATGGCAAGAAGATTTTGCACTGGCAACCGGCGAAATAGAAGTAAACCAATCAACCGACAACGTTGAAAAATCAAAGAAATCACAACCAAAAACGAAAGAAATAGTAGCCACTGTTGAGAAGAAAAAAGCCCATCGTTTACGTGAAATTGAATCCAAGTATTTTGGAGCATCTGATGATGAATTGGCATCAGATCTCAGTGATGTTGATTCTGAATTTGAAAAGAGCATCGCTGATGAAGAAAACAATTCTGATTCAGATGATATTAGCAACGATGATGATTCGGATGATGCGCCGGAAGAAATAAGCACCGTTACAAAATCGTCGAAAAAACGTCAATTAGAAAAATTAAAATTGACCAAAGTAAAAGAAATAAAAGAAATAAAAGAGCCTGAATATAGCGATGAAAGTGAGTCAGAAAATGAATTCGACGATGGTTTAGATGCCTTTTATAACTTAGACGATTCCGAAATGAGTGAGAACGAATCAGATATCGAACCGGCAACAAAAGTGCCCAAAAAATCCGACCAAAATAATGAAAAAGTCAATAAAGAAAAAAACAAGAAATTAAATAAATCGAGTAAAAAGCAAGAAAATAATGAGTTTAGTGATGAGGATGGGGTGGATCAAGATATGGACGATGATGAATTTTCTGATAGCAATCAGAGCGACAATTCAGCTGAAAAAGAGGAAAAATCGAACATTTGGGAAGATATTTATGGGCGAAAACGTGACAAAGACGGAAATATTATAAAAGAAGACCCTCAACAAACGACCGGTAAATATATACCGCCACATTTGAGAGCACGTATTGCAACCGAGGCTGGTAATGGTAATGCTGATACTGATATGGATCCAAAACGTAAAGAAAAATTGCTGCAATTGAAACGATTACTAAAAGGTCAATTGAATCGGTTGTCAGAAGCAAATATGCATAAAATTTCAACGGAAATTGATAATTTGTACATGCGAAACTCACGGCATGACATGAATTCCACACTGACGGCTTTAATTTGTGATGCATTAATATCGCATGTTTTGGCACCAGAACGAATGGTCATGGAGCATGCCCTACTTATTGCAGCCTTACATGCAAACGTTGGCACCGAAGTCGGCGCCAATTTACTCGAAAATTTGGTCGATCGCTTTCATCAAATGTTAAATGCTGGCATTGAACAGTACGAAATTGAAGATAAAACTCTAGACAATGTTATTTTCGTTTTGTGTCATATGTATACGTTCAAGGTATTCGAATGATTTTCATTTTCGTTACGAACAGTTTATTTATTATTATTTGACTTTTCCAGATTTTCCATCATCGTTTAATCTACGAGCTGTTGAATAAACTTGTTGAAAGATTTTGCGAAAAATCCATAGAGTGTGTCCTATTAACATTGCGTTCGATTGGATTTTCATTGCGAAAAGATGACCCAGCTGCACTTAAGGAACTTATTATAACGATACAAAAGAAAACAAGCGAAGCATCGGAGGAATTGAAAACAAAGTGGGTGATATTTAAAATAATATTTTTCGTTTAAGATTTTCAATAAATTAATATTCAAAATGCAACGTTATTTTGTTGTAGCGCTCGTCTAAAGTATATGCTCGACGTTTTAACGGCAATCAAAAATAATAATGTAAATCGAATACCAAATTATGATCCAGCGCTAGCCGAACATTTGCGAAAAATCTTGAAAACATTATCTGTAAACGGAAAGTATGTAACGACGTTGAATATTTCATTGGAAGATTTGGTGAATGTACAAAATCGTGGTAAATGGTGGGTCGTTGGTTCGGCATGGACGGGCAATATAAATGATATTAGCGGTGCGGTCAAGGCAAATGCATCGAAGAAAAATGAACAAAAATTCAGCGAACAATTACTTGAATTGGCCCGCAAACAACGAATGAATACCGATGAACGTCGTAATGTATTCTGCATTTTAATGAGTGCCGAAGTGAGTTTCTAACATGAAAATATAAAATGGAATTTTTCTCTCTCTTTTTTAGCAAACCAAACAAAACTTAAAATCAATATTTGTATTGGACATTTTTTTTTAAATATAGGATTATATCGATGCGTTTGAGAAAATTTTACATTTAGCAATTAAAGATCATCGAGTCGTTGTATCGGTTATAATACACTGTTGCCTATCGGAAAAGATATTCAATCCATATTACGCAGTTGTTGCACAAAAGTTCTGTGATTACGATAGAAAGTATCAAGTAAGTTCAATGAGCGCCAATAGAATGAAACGTTATGGTAAATATTTCTCGTTCTCCCCTCCATCATTAGTTGGCCATTCAATATGCTGTATGGGATCGTATCAAAGATATGGAATCGCAAACGAAGTGTCAATTAACAAATTTGGCCCAATTCCTTGTTCATTTGATAACACATGCTGCTCTGGCCATATCCGTGCTAAAAGTAATTGAATTTGGTGAATTGGATAAAGTCACGTTGCGATTGGTGCGTCAAGTGTTGCTCGGAATCTTATTGGGCAAGGAAGATATTTGTAAAGAGGTAATAACAATTTTTGTTCTTATTACGAAGCATGCGGGAATGAAGAATGTTCATTTGTGCAGTTTTTTTAATGATTTGAAAATGTTAATTGCAGGTGTTTCAACGTATTGCGCCGAGTGCACAGTTGAAGGCATTCAAGGATAGTATTCGTTTGTTTATGCATCATTTTCTTTTGAAAGGTGGCGCCAAAAATGGCATTCCTGAAGACAGAATGCAATTGTTAAAGGAGCGTATTAAAATTGCTGACAAATCATTGGATACTGCAACCATTCGATTTTAGACTTTATTTCATAATTTGCGAATTATATATATGGCATTATTTTTATATCGAATAAAATTATCGATTGATAAATTTACTATGTACAATATATTATATATATATGGGTTTATATATATAGATTTGTTTTTCCTTCTCTTGACATGATTATGAATATTTTCGAAATTGATTTTGAGACATGCGCATCTCGTACGCTTCATTTATCATTGTATTGGAATATGCCAGCGACATTTGTTTTACATTTGCGTCACTTTTTATCCACCAGCTGGAAAAATCTTCAACACAACTACATACTATTACACGACAAAACACCAATCTACGTATGTGCATTTTTCACACTCATCAACGAAGAGAGCAGAGTTCAGGTCATCGATAGACGTAAAATAAATCCACACAGTGTGTGCAAAATATTTGAAACGAAAAAAAAGGGTTTTTGCGCATCACACAGCACTTTTATTTTTAGTTGCAATATCTACAATCATCAGAACAACGTAAATTCGTAAACTGTTTCCAAAAAAAATTAAATAAAAACCAAACGTAGAGAAGGCGAAAAAATTGTTCTCTTTGCATTTTGTGTGGGAAAAAAGATTAGAATTCTATATCAAGGCGAAATTTAAGCGCACATCGAGGAAGGAAAAATCAAAAAAAAAAAAAAACAAAGAAAAATGTATAAAACAATCCGACATGGTGATAACAGTTTGCAATACACAATTTTACCGCAACATGATGGTGTTGATGGCAAACAAATGTTTGGCATACACCATCGACATCGAAAACGAAGATGACCAATTTATACGTTATTGTTTATGATTATCACATTCATTGCAATCGCTGGTTTACTACTATCAAATAAAGATGATGTCGTACGTTTCATAAACAAACACAATATCAATTGGTTTGAACGGAATTTAGTGCATACACAAATCAATAATAATAAACAACAAACCAAAGATACGCACAATCAAAATCAAAATAACGTGAACAGTGGCAGCAGCGATGCATTGAATACAGCAAAAGCAAGTAGCCAGAAATTGATAGCACTCGGTTATGATGGAGCACATGAGAGAAATGCCATTGATTTGATGAATAAAAAGATGATGGCGTCATCAAATAAGGCATCATTAACAGCAACTGCTGGAACAGGAACAAATCGAGCAACAGTGATAACCAATCCACCGATTTCTAGTGAAAAGATTACCACACAGTACGCACCCGCATGGAAAAATCTTATAATCAATAAAATTGTTAACAGCAATAACAAGGAATTAGATGCAATGAATTCGGAAGGCAATGTAGAGACACGATCAACATCGATGAACGCACAAATTAAAGCCACCACTAGAGTAACACCGACTCTTGCAACACTTACTATTACCACCACCACCATCACAACTTTAGCACCTGTTCAACATGAAAGCAGTACGTTTGTTTTTTTTTTCTCTCATTCTATTAATGTGTTTTTTTTAATTTCATCGATAATTTCATTTTTATTTGGCATAGCATTGGAGTGGGTACATAATGACATTTCCGGAAAAAGTGAGCGACATCGTGGCCGCATGCAAGGCATTGACGAATCGAATAAAATAGCAGCAGCACCAACAGCAGCAACTCCAAATGGTAAAGCTAAGGGGCAAATCACTTAAAAATTACTTATTAATTATTATTGATTGTTTTACGATTATTTTTCGATTAGTTTCGATTATCGTCATTAATTGTAATATATGTATTATGTATGAGATTCTTAAATGAAGGTGATGGAAATTGAATCTATGTGTAATAAAAAGAGAGTTTGTGTGTGTGTGGATGAGTAAGTGAGTGATAGATGATTGGGAAACCATTAGAATGTAAGAGAAAACATACAAAAGAAACAAAAGTCACAACAGCATATAACAGATTGCTGATGAAAAATTGAGATTTGGTAGCAGTAGTGGAGAGAACAACACACAAGGAATCAATGTTGTACACACAGTAGCATTGCATCGGAACAACGTCACAACAACGAAAACATGGCGACGCAAACGGATAAACGAAAACTGTATTAACAGCAACAAGAAATCACATTCGGGTAACAATTGTCATGTTTTGCATAGTAGCTAACGCATTCGCTGTTCAATATCGGCCACTGTCAACGACAAAACGATTTGAATGTGTTGGTGTGAGAGTGTATTTGACTGTGACATTTCAAACCAACAAGCCGGCAACAAGTCACATCGTTTCGAACCATTGCCAGTGTAAGAACTAAAATTGCTGCGCATAAATTTTCAGTGTGCATTGAAAGTGAAATATTCTCTCGAATTGAATTTTTGTCGGTTTTTCCAAAAAAAGTGTTTGGTAAGTATTATTTTAAAATACAATATTAAACAGAATTTTCGAATTTTTTTACAAAAATTGACTGCATGGTAGAATGAGATTGAGATAAAGAGAAACTCATTGAACACAATACAAAGTCAGGTTCAATCATGAATAAGAAGAATATGGACACATTTTTCGTTCTTACACTGGGAATCGTTCACAAACCGACCACAAACGATGTCAGAACCTGGAAAATATGAATACAAAGGATCGGTAAGTTTTTTTTTTTGCATTGCATTTTCTTCATTTAATTTTATAATATCGAATTTGTATCGGTCAGTTTCTAGTTTGCCCCAACTACGAACCGGTCCGCAATTGTATTCTATCCGGCAACCGAAGTTAACTTTAGCATAAAGTTAAAGAAATGTATCTGCGGTCGTTCCCGGGGGGGTATGTTTCAATTCGAATCAATTTCATTGCTTTCATTTAATTTCATCTACTGCAATTTATGTTCATTGTTTGTTTTTCTGTTATTGTATGTATCTAGGTAGTGACCAGCAGACCCAGAAGTACTATAGTAAGCTAGTATTTTTTTTATTCTCTTCCACAGAATCGCGATTACAACTACCAAATCTCAATTTAAAGCAATTGCTGGACATTAATGTTGTTGTGGTTATTGCTTTGCAATTTTTTCATTATATGTTTCCGATTATTTTCCGATTATTTTCCGATTATTTTCCGATTATTTTCCGATTACTTATCGATTATTTTAAATTTTATTCTTTTCTTTTCTGATTCTCCCCTTAGGTAAAGCCCCATATTGGTATATCGATCCATCAATCGTTTATAGGGCGATGACATCACCGGTAAAATAAATAACAGTAACCATTTTGATTTTTTGCCTTTTCTCATAAATCCGTTTTTTTATTTTCAATTCACAGATTAATCCATCAGATCATTCAGCATCATTTATATTGGCAAGTTTACTATTTGTCATTTGTCTGTTCTTTTTCCTGTACTGCGTTATGACCGACAAATTCTGTTGCGGATGCTGTTGCACACGTAAACGCGTTAAAATCAAGACGGTAAGAATGACATGATTATACATACATTCCATTTCAGTTTTTTTTATTTTATCAACAAACGGAAATCAATCGCATTCTTTCTTTTCTACGTTCAGGAAAATGAAATTCACGAGGTCAATACTACATTGCTGGCCAATCATGATTACAATAATTCGTCCGATGACGATTAAAATATAAACATTAAATTAAAAAAAAATGTTATGAATCACACACAATCAGCACACGCTCAACAAATCTCATTTCAATCTCTCGTATCTATCTTAGTCTATTGAGATGTGTCATCGGTGTATTTGAAAACCGCTGAAAAAAAACGTGCATTCATGTTAACAAATGAAGTAGATTGGATATTGCATCCGCTTTCTATATATCCTTCTTATATTATAAGCATTTTTAGCATTTTAGGATATTTAAACAAACAGAAAAAGCTATTATGAAACATGAAATTGCCCAGATTATTATGGACACGATATGTATACATATAATAAATGCCTGCGCACAAGCTATATCACATTTATCAGAGAGTGAGCAGCATTTAATCATTCATTTTACCAAAAAAAAAAAAAATTACAACAGTAAGAAACAACAAAACAACACATAAACTAAATGTACAATAACAGTGTATTAAACTTTACTTTTCGAAACAATACAAACAAAAACAAATAAATATTATTATGATGACAAAAAAGAAGGCTCTGTATAACCACATTTACATGTATCTAAAGGCTTCGCATTTAAACGTAACAAGCAAATGCTTCAAGTAAGTGATTTCCTTAATGATTCTTATTGCATTGTTTGCTTTCGCTCTAAAATTACACCTCAATTCGATTGCACCGAACGATTTGCTTGCTACGTCTAAATCGGCCGTTGAGAAAATGAATTTAGAATTGAATATGTAAATTGAATAATAATGTAAGCAAATAAATTGACTTATTTGAATGTGAGATAATGTTATGAGTCTATTTATTTATTTGGTGATACAATTTGCGATGGAAAAAAATGCCCAATAAACTTGGGAGGAGACACGGGCTATTGCTTTTTTCATATGTACATTTGACAGAACATAATAAGTCCAAATTTTTCTTAGTTTTTGTAGTTTTCGAGTTTGAGTAAAAAAATTCTTACATAATAGATCCGATCAAAACAAACTAAAACAATTGCAATAGAGTTATGTGAAACGAACAATGGCAAATAGGAAGATACCATTTCAAGCTTACCTTTCAAGAAAACAGTTCCAAGAAATGGATGGCTAGAATTTTCAAAGGAAATATCCCGACGAGATGATAAACAACAAAATTGTGGGCTGTTGTACGCACCGCGGGCACTTTTCTTGTAAATGCTGCTGTTTCTTAGATCCAAATGCGGCACTTAAAAAACTATATGGAAAGAGTGATATGCTATAACAGATCTGGAACTGGAATAATTTTGGAATAAAATGTGTTTGATTTTTTTGTGATGATATCCACCGATGTATTTATTTTTACGTTCATGATTTTTTCATCAAATTTTTGTTCTTCTTTTTATCATTCGGTATAAATGATATTCTGTTTATCTATGTGTGTGTGGGTGTGTCACATAATAAAAGACAGTCAATAATAATATAGATGGTGTTTTTTTTTACATTCACTGAAGAAATGGGAAATTAGAGTTTTTTTTTCTTCTCAAAAGTTTTTAACAATCAAAGAATAATAGTTGAAATAAATCTAACTCAGATGGAATAATTTTAATGTTCGGGTTTTACATTCAATTTGAAATGATTTTTTTCTTTCTTCATTTTTTGTTTAAATTGTTTTCATTTTTAAAATTTCAGATTTTTGTATCTTATTATTATTCTCAGTACCGTTTACTTTTTAAATCGTTTCTCTTCATTTTTTTACGTATCACAAATCTTCGCTGGAGATCTTTCCTTTTTATAAGAAAGTAACTATTTATTTATTCGCTTGTATGTGGCGAAGACATAAACTATTTGTATAATTTCCTGTACTGATTTCAATTTGTTGTATTACTCATTGAAAATGCGAACAAATCAACGATTCTTATTTTGGTGTGTGTGTGTGTGTGTGTGTGTGTGTGTGTGTGTGTGTGTGTGTGTGTGTCTGTATGCACTCCGGCATTATTTTTGCGCCTAATTAAAATGAGAATATAATTAAAGGTGCACAAAATTTATTGTTGTCTAATTAAAAACGAATCGAAAAAAATTGAAAGATGCTCACACAATTGCTGCGGCTGATGTTTGCCATGCATTTTTTGTTGTTGCGCAAAATAAGGGCATTAAATTACCGAATGAGTATTTGAAGAAATATATTTTGCCGACAATATTCATAAAATTAATTTTTTATTAAATTTAATTAATATAAATCATTGTGATGCGATCTCGATCGAATCGAGTGACAGATGATTTGAATCAAAATTTGTTGTTTTTTTTTCAATATGATATTATAAATACGGTGTGGTTGTTGTTTACTTTGTTCAAAAATCAAAATTATTCTATGGGGGATTGGTCTATATGTTAAACAAACTTTCTGTTTTCAATTTAGAGGAGTCAAAGAGAAAACAATAGAGAGATCGATTATGGATCCATGTTTCTTTTTTTCAATTACGATGAAAATAAAAGCCGTTGGTGTTCTCAGTGTTGATCGACTTCGTGGAAGGGGGCGATGGGGTAAGATTTGAATGGGATGATTGATACAGCTCACATCTAATCGATTTCGATGATTTGTGGTGATACACGAGGTGGGGCTTGCCGTGCCGGATTTCCATTCATGTTCATTAGCCTATTTTGTGCCTGCTGAATTAAATGCTGCTGTTGCATATGCTGTTGAAGTATTTAGAACATTTTAAGATGTTAAATTGTGACTATACATATACTGGAAGAACAAATCCAAAATATAAATCACTTACAACCGTACTGTGTTGTGGATTTAAAGGCGGTCGACCACGTCCCGAATACCTAAAGATTATTCATTATTGATAAGTATGTGTGTGTGTGTGTGTGTGTGTGTGTGTGTGGTTGATAAAAAACCAAAACAAAAAGTGTATAACATACGCGGGCATTATATGACCTTGAGGCGTTAGATAGCTTCCTTGAGACGGCGCTGCCATTTCCGTTTGCTGGATGTACAGCAACTCTTGATAAAACTGTGCAAATCACAGAAACATATAAAAATATGCTATAACATGAGAAAAATTCATCCGAACATTTTTGTTCAACTTACCGATGTGTCATTCTTTTCCATCGTTTCGTACAAGTGCTTCAGAAGTATAGGAACTATTTCCGCAATGTTTTGGTTGCCCGGATAAGTGCGGCGTGCTTTTATGTTTAGCAATTGCAACAAAATATCCGTACGAAAACCAAATATATTGTTTGACGTAACTGGACCAGCGCCGGCGGCTGAATGATTCAAAAATTGAAATATTTCAATATTCGCGCATAACTAATTTTTTTTGGTTTTGAATTCTGAGAAATTACCTCGTTGATAAGTTGGATAGCCAACAAAACTTTGTGCAGTAACAGCTGGTCGATTTTTCTCCTCTTCAAATTCTTTCCACGCAGCTTCGATTTCCTCTTTTGACAGTGTTTCTTCCGATTTATTTTCGAGCAATGAATCATGTTCGTGATACTTCCAAATTCGATCTGGATATTTGTGAAGTTGTTCAGCAAACAATCGATCCTTTGGCAATTTCGGTTGGGGACGTTCTTCTTCTGGATCGATATTTTCAATGTTGTACAATTCATTCAAATCGTTCTCTTTATAATGTCGATCGATTTGATGTTCATCGATGACACGCTTTGATATAGCCAACTTGGTGACTTGACGCTCATAAATTTTCTCTTCCATTGTGCCCAATGCTATGAATCGGTAAATGTAGCATGGTTTCTTTTGTCCGAAACGGTATATTCGGAAAATGCTTTGAATCTGACGGGAAAACAAATCAATGAATCAGTAAATCGAATTTAAATAAAATCGTGTTGATGTAAATAGAAAAATAATTAATGACACTCACATCATGCGATGGATTCCATGATGCATCAAATATAATGACCCGATTGGCTGCCACTAAATTAATACCAAGCCCACCAGCACGTGTCGAAATTAAAAAGAGTCTGAAATTCACAATGGTCACCAATAAATATGGAATAAAGTGAATAACAAATGCAACACAACAGACCTTGCTTGCGAGTTGTCTTCGCTGTTGAAACTAATGCAATTGGCATTTCTCGTTTCAATGTTAGTTGATCCATCCAAGCGGAAATAGTCAATGCCACGTGTCCAACTGCCGGTAAAAGAGCCCAGTTTTGCATCTGGATTCGGATTTTGTGTATTTTCATCGATCATTGCCAAAAAATGTTCGATGACATCGAGTGAAAACAAGCTCTGCGAAAAAACAAGTAATTTGTCACCACAAGCTTCACATTCCGCAAGTATTGAGAAAAGCAGCATCAATTTTCCCGAATACTCAATATTATTCAATTCTTCTTCAGGGCACAATGGCATCCACCATTCGGTTGGATTCTCTTCTTTGATTGGCTCAATTGGCTCTTCCTCAACTAGTTTGCCATGATGATGATGATGAAAAAAATAAAGTGTTCGTGTTTTCAATTGTAAATAAATTGATTATATTATACTTACAGTCCTTGGCCGTTGCTCTGGTTCGGCGCACAGCTACGCTATTCGACGCTTGTGACTTTTTGCTATTCGACGGTTTGTCCGAGTGAACCGATTGCACAGATGAATCATTTGATGATGCGTCCGATGAGTCGGATGTACTGTTATCCAAATCGGAATCGTCGTCATCGTCATCGATGAAGTCCTTCAGCGAACCCTCTTCATCATCACTTGCCATGAATTTTTTCTTTTGCGCCATTTGTTCATAGCGATCACTGTTGTATCTTAATACACGAGGATGTGTCCAAATTCGTTGTAGATTTTGGAAGTCTTGGAATAAAATCGATGAACGAGTCTTCCCCGATTCATTTTGTGCCGGTCGATTGGCCATGTAATACTGAAAACGAATAAATATTTCATTCACAAAATCGTTCGCACAAATCAATTTGTTACCTTGTACAAATCCACTTGAAGTTTGGTCATTCGAATATAAAGCACGTATTCTTGTTTTGGTGGAAGGAAGGGTGCAAGCACCGAGTAATCTCGTCTCTGTACGCATCCGTCGAGCAATTTGTGGAGAATGTGCGATCGACGCTTCATCATTTGTATATCAAACGGTGTTGAATCGGTATATTGACCATTGGTGATTGGATTTACAAAACGATTCAAATACTCGTTGTATTTACCAAGTAAATTAGGCTTTACGAATTGCACCATACAATAATATTCATTGAGATTATTTTGAAGCGGCGTACCTAAGGAGAGAATCACAAAAGAAAAGAATAAAATTTAAAATAATCGATAAGTAATCGGAAACTAATCGAAAAATAATCGTAAAACAATCAATAATAATTAATAAGTAATTTTTAAGTGATTTGCCCGAAGCGGCGTACCAGTTAACACAATGCGACGCAATGTTCGAATACGATTCACCGCTTTGCTCAACGATGTTTTGGCATTTTTCAATAAATGACCCTCATCGCACACCACCAAATCTGGTCCCGGTTGAATTAAACCTTCTTGAAAGATGGTTTTTGCTTTCTTCGGAATTCGATTACTTTCGTTCGATAAATTTCGAAACATATCGTACCCCAAAATAAGTACACCACCATCGTTGTGCCATTCGCTGATTCGATATGCACGTTCTGCATTTTGTTTGTATCTAATTGTCAGTCACACAAAAAAAGAAAAACATTGAATTTGAATGATATTTATGACTAAAGCTAAATGATTCGAGAAAAAAAGCTTACTTGGAAATTTCAAAAATTTCAATGTTTCGATTTTGACTGCAGTGACGTAGCCAAATTTTAAATTCGTTCACCCAGTTCAGAACTGTGCTCACAGGACAAATGATTAACACCTTTTCAACGTTCGTTTTATCACTGTGTGTCAATAGTGTGTGCACCAATGTTACAACTTGTAATGTTTTACCTACAATTATGAAGAAAATCGGATTTTTTTTTTGTTTGTTTGAATCAGCATCAGTGAAGTAAGTATCGCGAAAATATTTTCCAAAGTCAAACTCACCTAAGCCCATACAGTGGGCAAGGATACAGCCACCGCCATGGTTCTCATTGAGTTTTTCAAGCGTTTCAAAACAAGCATCCCACATGAATTTGATACCTTGGCCCTGGTGCGGTTTTAATTTTTTCACCAATTTCTTATCAACCGAAATCAATTCTTGCTTTGTATCAGTATCAAAATCCAACACCAATTTATCAAGCTCACTGATTTCTTCCAATTTGTTATCGTACATTTCATTATACTGTGAAGAATAAAACATAACATTCACACATTTAATTGAATTGCTTTGTCTTTGCTTACGAATTAATTTTTAAACTAACCAATTTCTGTCTGTCTTCAATACGCTTTTTACGCTCGGCCTCACGTTTGGCAGCCTCTTTTGTTTCCTCTTCCAAATCGGCACTTCGTATCATCTTGCGAATATTCTTTCGACCATGCTTCTTCGGCGTGCCCTTGTCCCCGTCATCATCGCTACTGCTCGAATTATTTTTGATTCGCTTGCGACGTTTGTGCTTTGCACTATTTTAAATGAATAAACATTTTTTTTTAAATATGGTTTTATGTTCATAGTCATGAGGAAAATGTTAAAAAGAAACTAATTGCTTTTGTTGAAATTCCAGGAATTCATTGATTGCGAAATGGAATGTATCTGTATAAAATGCGTTCAAACTTACGGTTTTGGATAATCGTCGTCATCGTCATCTTCGCTACTCTTTTTTGTAATTTGGCGTTTTCTTTTGCTTCGAATGTTTGGTTCACTTTCGCTGCTCTTCTCACTTTCCTCGATGTCATCCTCTGAATTTGTCGAGGCGTCAGTCGAGTCGGTGACATCATTTGACGATTTTGGAACGTTCTTTTTCCGCATTTTTTTCTTATTGATGTCGTCGTCGTCGTAGTCGTCGTCGTCCTATAGATTATTAACAAAAATTAAATCAAAATTAGTATTCCGATAAACATTTTTAAAAGCAAAATTTAAAAATAAAATATGAAAACTACAAATTTATTCATATTTAGTTCTGGCTTGATTGACGATACTGTAAATGTGTGATATCTTAAACGCAGACCAGCACGTGGTTGCATCAGAAGAACGAAAATAATATGATTTCCACTGAATTTCATTTTTTTTTTCTCAAAGAAACGGTATTGTATATATATCGGGGAGAATTTCGCCTGCTTTCCAATATACATCCACATACATACATATTCACATGCACACACATTATAGTTTATGCTTATGCTCGAATGTTTGAACCAATTGAACCAATCGATTCCTGATTTTTTTTTTCTCTCACTACGCTTTGGCACATAAATATTTGGATTTTATGAATGTGTTTATATTTATATAAATGCTTACTGAAACGTAATCGTCGTCGTTGTTGTTGTTGCTGTTGCTGTTGCTGTTGTTGGTGTCGTCGCTGTCAGATGAAATATTGTAGTGCAATGGTTTTTGTTTTTGAATTCGTTGCGATCTCTTTTCTTTGTTAGAGTTCTTCGAGTTCTTCGAAGTGGTTGGCATACAATCATCGTTTTGCTTCTAAAACAACACGAACAATACACATCATTTTTGTTTCGACTTTTTTTTTCATCGGTTGTTGAGGTATTTGCATAAAATATTGCACAAACGCAACACGAGCGCAGAGCTATTCTCTCTTATCTCAATGCAATAAAAAATGCAACGTGAATAATTCGCATTCATTTGTGTTTACCTGTTTCTTTGTTTGATTTCTTTTCAATTTATTGGCGTTGTCGCTGGTATCGTCGCTTCCATCATTCAATGCGTGTTTAAAATTCGATTTTTTCTACAAGAATATAACGGAACATATCGATGATGATTTTGTATCATTTGAAGAATAAAGAAAATAGAAACAAGATGCAATCATGTGTGTTGTATATATTGTCGTTTGTTGCAGAAAAAAAAAATAAAAGTTTTGATTTTTTTTGGGGCGAAAAAAAAAAAAATATATTTTTTTTTTTTCAGATAAAAAAAAAAAAAAAATGAAAGAAATGTTTTGTTTATGTGTTGTGTGTGTACCTCATTACGATGCGTTTTAACTCTTGACACAATAACCGTTTGATCGTTGTCACGAATTTCGCTAAGATCGTATCGTTTGAGCAAGGGTTCCAAATTTACGGGTAATTTAACTAATTGAATTTTTGACGAATACAAATCATGTTTTTCATTTGGTTTTGATTTATGTGCTTTGGATTTGTGATTTTGACTTGAAACTGAGTCGTTGTCCGATTCATCTTCGGTGCTCTGATTTGTATTTCGTTTGGTATGTCGAGTTTTTGAAAATCGTTTCTTTGAACTTTTTGGCTTCGCGAGTCTTGACAACAATTCATCGCTGCTGCTGCTGCTGCTGCTGCTGTTGTCTGAGCTCAGCTCGATTGGTTTTTTTGATTTATCCTGCTGTTCATCGTTTTGTGTTAACAACTGTGTTAACGGTACTAATTTGATGCGGCCTACTGTGTTTTCAACTTCATTTTCATTATTGATTATCACATTTTGAACATCACAATCCGCTTCTGCATTTGTTTCAATCTCATTTGATTCATCGTGCGGCATTTGATTTGCTTCAACATTTGATGGCAGTAACAATGGATCGCCTGTATCTATTTCTTCGGTGGCTGATGCTACATCAGCATCATGAGCTTCGTCAATGATCATGGACGTTGTATCATTTTTGAGTGCATCAAAATCAACTGGTACGGTACTTGCATTGGAATCATCATCACTTGAGGTAATATTACTTTCAAGGCGTCGATTTCGATGTGATTTTTTTCTAATAGTCGCACCATCATCGCTATCGCTATCCATTTTTGTTCTTTGCTTCGATTTTTTTTGTGTATATCTAAAATAAATCCCGTTCGATTATTTCCTAATCGTGGTGTGTTTATATATCTATTTGACGCTATATGACACGTTTTATTTGGCGCAATTTTAAACACTGGATGCTTTTTTTTCAGCTGCACATATAAACTAGCTTCTGTCAAAAGCGAATACACAGAAACTTGACATATTTTTTTCTCCAATCTAACTGTCTACCTTTCATATATATTTCGTATCGTCTCCAGCTCTCTATTTGACAGTCATTTCAGCGTACCTATTTTTTTACCTCTCTATCTCTTTCACACACACTCTCTTTTATTTTGGCATTCAGCTTTACTTCGTTTTTGTATTATTCAGTATCGCAATAACAAAAAAATCGTTTCACACATTCAAATGTACGGTTTTTTCCCTATTTATGTGCCGTTGAAATAGATATGATTTTTCTAACAACAAAAAACCAACAATTTAACAAAAAATTGAGTTTACTATAAAACGAAAGTTATAAAGGTATCTAATGCAAAACAATGTCTTACACAATATACAAGAAATAGAAGATGTTAAACAAAACGGTGTTTGTTTCGAGATCTCTAATGCTGAATTCAATGTTTGCTGGGCTTTTTTTTAAATAAAGAAGACGACAATCGCGATTAATTCACCGATTTCAATTGACCACTTGAATTCATTTCACAGACTTTATGTACAACACTCAATTCGGACCGGATGATGGATTGTTAACGAATTTTAAAACTGGAAAAAGAAAATCAAAAAATAAAATCTTTTTTGGATTTATCACAAATCGAATTCGAAGAGAACGACGACAAACGAAAATGTCTGAATCTTTCAGATGAATTTTCGAATATATGAGAAGACAGCAGCAGCGGCAGCACAACCACGGTGTATATGTGCTTCATCATAGAAAATGGTATGCCTCACCATTCCATATACACGTACCGATGCACACAGTTTTGAATGTCGTTTTTTTGTTTTCTATTTCTATCCCATTCGTGCTCACGACATTCATCGATAGCCATTGCACAATGTTTGAATGTTCGTTCACAGTTTAAGAGCCAACACTACTACTCTGACGCAACGTAGAATTCGAAAAGTCGTTTTGTGTGTGGCGTATAGCAACCGAACTAACACACGTACGTGAAGAGAGAAAGAGCAAAAAAGAGCAAAAGAATACAGCAGCAAAAAGCATATTCGAAAAGAAGATGAGAGCAACAAAAAAAAACTAACACAGCCAGCATACATACATATTTAGTGAAGTTAGTTGTCGTTCGTACATTCGTAAGTTAAAAATCGACACATAAATAAAAACAATGAAAATTAAATGAACAATGAACAGAATAGCACAGAAAAAATGCACCACACATACACAACATCAGCTTTTGAAAACTCAAGCCATTTCCATACAATCTTCATTACGAAAAACGTCCACAAAATTATAATTCCAACATCACGTTGGCTAAACTCCTTCACTTCTCTTTCTCTCTCATTTAAAATTTAAAAAACAATTTTTTTTTATTTTGGATGAAAATAATGAATTCCGACGTTTTTCACGAAATAAGTTTTCTCTACTTACAACTCGGCCTGAAATTCCGTCGAGTGCAGCGTTCAAGTATTTCTCAAAATGTAATTTTCTAATGAATTTTTATTTTTCCTTATGTTTGACACTAGCCTGTTTCAGTCGCTATGCGAAGTGCATACTAACGCAGCATTTAGCTTTTCACTTTGGTCATGGCTCTTTTCTATCGCATATACATTTCACAACATAGTACAGAAGAAGCAATGGCAGCAGAAAAAAAAACCACAGCGAATAAAAACGAGAACAAAAAAAAAGTGACATACAGGAAAAAACCAAATGAAAAAAAAAGACACAAGCCCGAATGAAATTCGAATATGGAGAATGAATGTGTTGACGCAAGTCAATTTTGTTGGACAATTTACTGAATGACAATTGACATTATTCCAGGGAATTTATGAAAAATTGCCAATCAATTGAATATATGTAGTCAACTGCATTCGGATATCATTTACATTTGCCGCACTATTACGGATTACATGAGCACAAAATTTTCCGAACCGAACGGCCAATTCCAATTTCGTAAACATTTTTCGTGTACGCTGTACATTTTCGAGATCAGCTGTGGCACTTGCAATCGAATTCGAACTTCGGTAACAATTTTCGAGTTATGTCAAACAATGCTCCCCTCTCACCAATTTGATTAAACTGGAAATTCGAAAACCAAGCAAATATTCACACATATACACACGCACAACAAGCCATTCCAAATGTCAAGTAGTTCGGCACTATTGTTTACATCTCTTCAATGAAGAAATCTTTTTAGTGAAAAATGGTTTTCTTTGCATTTTTAATAAAAGAATAACTGGAATTGATTTGAACTGACGCATTTTTAGGCTGTGCTTTAAATTATTTCGAATCAAGATTGCTATTTGCAGTAAATGCTATTTGATTTTTTTCCTCTTCGGACGCGGCATTATTCTTTTGTGCATGTCTCTTCCAATCTATTTTCTAAAGCAATAGAACTTATTCGTAATATTCGATTCCAAATATGATACTTTTCAAACTTCTCGATTTTCTTAATCTTTCGATCTTATTTTTCATTCATGAACTTATGTGAAACTCTTATTATTCAAATAATAACTTGCTGTCAAACTCACATTTTGTACGTAGCTCCTTAATTATTGAGAATTGGCAACATTTGGTGTTGCTGGATGCAAACCATTGTCATATTCGTAAAGTTTGACATTTTTTTAGCACGAACGTCCTCAGATGGTTTTGTCATACGACCGCTATTTGTATTGTTTACAGTGACATGTAAATTCCGTCTCAGCCAAAAAATGAAATTAACGAAAGAAAATTTTCGTGCAATTATTTATCACAACTTTCGACGAGGATTATCTAAACAACAGTGTGTCAATGAACTTAAAATTTTATATGGCGATGAAGCACCATCTCAGGCCACTGTATATCGCTGGTTTATAGAATTCAATCATGGTCGTTGTTCGCTCAAAGACGAGCCCCATGAAGGTCGTCCAAAATCGGTTGCTGTGCCAGAAACTATCGATGCAGTGCGTGAACTAATAATCGAAGATCGTCATGTGACATACCGTGAGATTGAGGCATCCCTAGGCATTTCAACCCACAGCATACATACAATTTTACATGAACATTTAGCCGTGAAAAAGATTTGCTCGCGTTGGATCCCACATAAATTGACCGATGATCAGCTCGTGTGAATTGGTGTAAAGAAATGCTCAACAAATACAATCGAGGTGCATCAAAAGACATTTATAATATCGTCACATGTGTCGAATCATGGATCTATGGATATGAGCCCGAAAGTAAACAGCAGTCAACTGTATGGGTGTTCCAAAGTGAAGATAACCCAACAAAAGTTGTTCGAGCAAGAAGCACTTCGAAGCAAATGGTCGCCTGTTTTTTCGAGAGAAATGGTCATGTGGCAACAGTTCCACTAGAGGATCGTAAGACCGTCAATTCTGATTGGTATACCACCATTTGTTTGCCCGAAGTGTTTGGTGAAATAAGAAAAAACAACCGCCATCGCAAAATAATTCTTCATCACGATAATGCGAGCTCTCACACATCTCATCAAACAACTGAATATTTGACCACTCAAAACATCGAATTGATAGGTCATCCGCCGTACAGTCCTGACTTGGCACCCAACGATTTCTTTTTATTCCCGAGCGTGAAGAATAAACTACGTGGTGAACGATTTTCAACACCACAAGAAGCAGTTAATGCGTTCAAAACACACGTTTTGGAGATATCTCTTTCGGAGTGGCATAACTGCTACGACAAATGGTTTCATCGAATGCAAAAGTGTATCGATCATCATGGCGAATATTTTGAAAAGCAATAAAGTCATTTTCAGAAATTGTTCAATGCATTTTCATAATTTTTCTCAATAATTAAGGAGCTACCCTCGTATAACATTGCCTGGGAAATATTGAAAAAAGTCTCTGTTCAATTTGAAATTTGTGACAATCGTGCGTGAGTTGGCACACGAAAATGGTAGCGGCAAAAAAAGAAAGTATGTAAAAAAAAGAAAGTATGTAAAAAAAGAATTAAAATTTTAAAATAAAAAAGTACTTGTTTGAAATCGGTTTGTTGTAATTAGCATTTAAAAAAATATCAATTTTAAAACTGAACGCGTGAATGAATGGCATTCATCGCAATGGTGCTTCGGTATTGTCGACATTTTGTCTTTTTCTTGTGTGCAGGTTATTTCACGAAATTGTTGTGTTCCGTTCGTGGTTTCGGAGAGTAAGTGAGTGAGTGTGTATGTATTGTAATGTAAGCAAAATATGTTCATTGAATGCCGAAGTCAAACGCGCTACTATGAATGTGACGTCTAAAATCGAAGTGAGCATAGTGCTCTCACAAACACAGATGAACGCATGTAATGTCAATCGTGTTTGAGTAAATGAATTACAATGCGTTTAGGCAAAACAGCTGAGTGCCGCCGATTAGCTTATACACATAGATCGTTACACACATACATACAACGAAGGTCGTTGATGTTACTGTTGAATGCGTGAATTTTCAATGGATTGTTGTGCGTTTCATTCTTTCGACATTTTATTCTCTATCATCTATCTCTGTCATATTGTTCGGGTTCGTATGTTTGAAAAATTGTTCATCTGTCAATGTTCGTATAGTACATTGCGTTCACTCACTTACTCACTCACTCACTTTGTCTCTCGCGTGAAGACATCATCACCAGAAGTAAGTTGTGTGGAATGAAAGACAGAAGAAAAAAAGAGCAGTACCATTAACAGCAAACCGTAGAAGAACAAAGACGAAAGAGAACACAAAAAAGAGAGTATCCGAGAGAAAAAAAATCAATTTGTGTATATTCCATTCCGTACACAGAGCGACAGAGAGAAAGAGAGACAGCGAGCAAAAGGTTCATCTGAGTACATATTATTTCTTACTTTATTTTCTATGTATTTCGTATACATATGAGCGAAAAACCAGCAAAATAACTTTTTTTCTTCTCTTTGCGACGACGGAAACTAAAAAGTGTGTGAATTGAGTGTATATGTGTGTTGTCTACGAAAAAGGGACGAATGAGTATAAAAAAAAAACATTTTTTTCCGACACGATAAAAGGAAAGGTCCACCAAAGAACTGAACTGATCAAAGCATACTAAACGCTGATTTTGGAGAGAGAAAATATCATCCATCGCCTTTTTGTTCGCTTTTTTGAACAACAAGGTGAATTGAATGAACGAGGACATCGAAAACGAAGCAACCAAAACGACAAATTAGTTCTAAGAATCACATTAAAATTTCGATTGAAAGACATATATTGTGAGGCAAATAAAAATCGAAGAAAATTCAAAACCAGACACACCAGATACGGAGAAATTATGAACGCTTCGTGCGAACATTTTAGCGAGTATATCAAAGAACTAGGACCAAATGCTTTCAATGTCATTCACGGGATATTTAGTTCCAGCATATCACAAGAGGCTCGACGACAAAAGGTAAGTTTACATGGATCGCAACTATTCGAATACAAGAATGAATGTGAGGAAGTAATACTGAGTGCCTGAAAAAAAATAATTCAAAGACAGAGTCGCACTTGAATTACTCGAATTTTTAATTCATATGCCCTCACAAAACGAAACAATCTTATCAAGATCAATTATTATCGAGCATAGTCGCCAAGTGTGTTTTTCTCAATGAGGTCGAGATATGTGTCAATGAACGTTTTTTTTTTCACTTTTCATTTTCTTAGGCGATGCTATGCGTGTGCCACACATGCGGCGGCTCTGGTCCTCAGCTCTATTCATGCTTACACTGTATATATTTCGGTTGCAAAGGCTCACACATAATGGATCATTTGGAGACAAAACGACACAATATTGCACTTGAACTATGTTATGGTATGATATATTGTCATGCGTGCAGAGACTTTGTATACGATCATGAATGTTATGCAATGGCCGAAAAACATTTGCGAAAAGAAGCCAGGTATTTGAATGCAATGTTTTGATTAATATTTTGGTCTTTTGATAATTAAATCCATATCTTTTCATGGTTGATCAACAAAACAAAATAGGAGTTTAAATAAGAGCATTTCATGGCGACCATGGACAACAACTAGCAATAGCATCGATGCACTGTTACAATATCCACGTCGACGACATGTGAGCTCATTGACAACGATCGGTTTGCGTGGATTACTAAATTTGGGCTCGACATGTTTCATGAATTGTATTTTTCAAGCGCTCATTCATACTCCATTACTTCATCGTTATTTTATATCGGAACGTCATGAATGTTCACCAAAAATGTCGGCCCGATGTCTGGTGTGCGAAATATCGCGTCTATTTCAAGAATTTTATTCGGGCAACAAAGGACCAATTTCATTGCATCGTTTATTACATTTAATATGGAATCATGCACGTCATTTAGCCGGCTATGAGCAACAAGATGCGCATGAATTTTTTATTGCCACACTTGATATACTGCATCATCATTGTAAAAATGCACAAACTGTCAGCGAAAAAGAGAAAGACAAACGTGATGGATTGGCTACAAATAATCCAACAAAATGTAGTTGTATCATCGATCAAATATTTACGGGTCGATTACAAAGCGATGTGGTGTGCCAATCTTGTCAAGGTGTATCGACAACCATTGATCCATTTTGGGATATATCACTTGATTTGGGCGAAGAACAGGGATGTGGCCCACCAAAATCACTAATCGATTGTCTTGAACGATTCACACGTGCCGAACATTTGGGTTCAAGTGCAAAAATTAAATGCTCGTCGTGCAAAACGTATCAAGAATCAACGAAACAATTATCAATGCGTACACTACCAATTGTGGCCAGTTTTCATTTAAAACGTTTCGAACATTCCAGTTCAGTGAATAAAAAAATTTCCACATTCATTTCATTTCCGTCCGAATTGGATATGACACCATTTATGGCACAACGGATTGATGATCGAAGCGGTGATTGTCGATATTCATTGTATGCGGTTATTAATCATATCGGTTCGCTTGATATTGGCCATTATACGGCCTACGTTCGACATCACAAAGATGTTTGGGTTAAATGTGATGATCATATTATTACGTTGGCAACATTGAAACAAGTATTAGATAGTGAAGGGTGAGCAAATATTTTAAATTCATCATTGTATTTCATATGCACACAACATTTTATTAATTTCAATCGTTCGAACTTTATTTTCAGATACATGTTGTTTTATCACAAGAAAATTCTGGAGTTCGAGTGAACTTCGTAGAAAAAGAAAGAGAGAGAGACAGACAGACAGACAGACAAACAGAGTTGAGTTGGCGCTTGGTCAAATTCGGAGCACTCTTCTTTTTTATTCTTCTTTTTTTCATTTGTTTTATCTATTTTATCGTCCCTTAAACGTTCTTCTGTTTATTCATTTGTCATCGTAACAACAACTATCAAAACAGCAAAAACCACAACAATATACTACTGCAAAAATTCCTATGTATTTTAGCTAATTTATCTATTTCATCGACGACAATTCTTCCGCTGCTAACTGACTGATAGCAAAGCCACAACCATTTGAGAAAATAAACATATAATACCACGATATGATGTCTACAGTTATTTTGCGAAGTGAAACGCAATAGAACAATACATTCATTAACCAATAGATACAAATGAAAAATTAAACGAGAAAGAGAAATAGAAAAAAATATTGATTTAAAGAGCATTTAATAAAAAATATTTAGAGAGGGAGAGAGAGAGAATGGGGAGAATGAGAGAACGAGAAAGAAAAAAAAATGTTAAGGAAACTACATGTAGCGAGTTTTTGACGTGGTTTTCACCGAATTTCTATATGAACAATTCTTGGCCGCATTTGCAGCGCATCATTCATTACTTTTTAACAATAAAACAATTAAATAATAGTAATACATTTATGATTTTTTTAACTACGAAATTGCACCCATTGCATGCATATGTATGTTACATGAACGAAGAAATTTTTTTTTCATACTTATTTATTTATTTTTTTTTTTTTTCAAATAAATTGTTTACCATTAACTTTTTCTTCATTTCAAAACTCGTTTTTATTGCACTTAATTTCGACGCATCAAATTTAAAAAAATGTTCTGGATGGACAATGTCTTCCTTTTCTGATGCTTGTGGTGCACGAGTAATTAATTTCAATGAAAAGAGGTCGGTATTTTTTATCATTGTCATCATGAATGGTCTTTCTAAGTGATATTGATTTGAAACTATTATGCCAAAACCAATACTTATCTCGTTCAAGTATCCTTGAAATTCTTAAATGGATATGAATATTATTGTTATATTTTACATCAGACATGCCGTAAATAAATGCAACTGTTCTATAATGGAATATTATTGAAAGGTTAGGTTGTAAGAATAAAAGAATGTTCATATTTAGTTGGGAATTGAAATGATCACTTCCCTTTTGCCACAAATTCATTGAAAATTCACTTGTTCTTTCTATCGACTGCTGAAAAGGTCATTTACAAGAGCATAATAAAATAGCTAGGTTAGAAGTTTTTTTTATGGAAAAACATTTCATGCATAAAATACACAAGTCAATGAATAATGCCTTACTAAACATGGATGATCTTATGATAACTTATTGATAAGACTTGATTGTTCCGAAGCTTTTTGCGTTGAAACATTTTGTAAGTAGCTTTGAGATGCCTGTGCTTTGTAACAGTCAAATTGCCTACTTGCATTTTTAATTTAGATTAAATCCAATAGATGGCTTACTAACCGTATTTTTGAATATGGTGAGCAGCGTTTTATTTCATTTATTTACTGAACACGGATGTCTTCAAGTGTAATCACATTACTCATAGGTACTTATTATTAAACCATGCATTTTTTTTAAACGATTGGCTGAAAATATGTAAAAGTTTTTTGAAAGTGCACAAACAAAAATATATGATTGCCCGAGAATGAAAGCGAGACTCCTATTCACATCTTATTTAAATGTAACACCACCATACAAAATATGCTGACTAGCCAGCACTTTTTTCTCGCTTTCATTCCGGGACATTTACATAGTTGTCAATTTTCAGTTTAATTTGGATTTAAATAAGTAAACAGTTGTTAACAGAAACAGTTAAAAAAATCAAGACCACAAATTTCAAATCAAGTCATTTTGAGTGAGAGTAATTAAGATCTTCCTTTAAATTAAGTGTACAACACTATTTCGCTCTATAATTGGACTTGTATCCAAACTTACACTTACAAAGAAAATCTTATGGCCTATTTGATAAGTCGGAATTTGTTCACTTAAAATGATCTGCTTTGCTTTTAAGTAACTTGTTTACGAAACAAATACGACAATCTCTTCTTTTTTTACTTACATCATGAATTTAAATCTATGCATGTTTACAAATTCATTTGATGCGTGGAATTTTGAAATGTCAACAAAATTTCATAAAAGTTTAATAGTGCATTAATACGGTACATATAAAGGAGTCATCGATATAATATTATTTGAACGGGTGTTTGGAATTCAAACCAATTAAATGAAGTAAGGACAGAATCCAATCTACTTTGCACGAACCTTGATGATTTTAATTGAAAGAATGTTTTTCTTTTCATGCTTATTCATTGACTTTCTATAATCAATTCAATTTATTAATTCAAAGGTAAGGTACGAATGTCTTCTCAAATTAATTGAAGTTTGTTTGAAAATATTTCATCTTTGATCGAAGACAAATATGCTTACATGATGATGATTGAAATTTTCTATCGATTTTTTAACTACAAAAGTAATAGTTAGTTAGGTGATGCTTAATGCTTAAATTAATAATTTTACGTTCGAATTTTTTGTTCATTTATAATAGACGGTCTTTAAATGATAATTTTGGTTATCTTCGGCAACAAATAAGTATGGCAAATAATATAACGTGTAATGAACTGTGTGAACATCCTTTTTCTTCTTCATTCAGTTGAAAGGGCATAAGTGTTTTGAAATACTCTGAAACATTGTTCGCATAAAAACACACCTTGAAATGTTTCTTTGTTGAAAATGAAGACCCCATTTGATGGTATTAAATTGGCGATTGACGTTGTTGTTTGTCAGAAAAATGTTTTCGATCATTATATAACTACTTGAAGATGTTTACGATTCAGAGGATTCAAAAACAAATTCTTGTAAAAAGCGTTATTACGTCATGATCGGATTATATGAACTAAAAAGCAACATGGGATACTTAATGTATGTACAATACATTTGTACGTCTGCAGCCTGAGTGAAATCAGTATGGAATTCCTTATATGAATTATTTCGGTTTGAATGATGTTGGTCCATTGAATATGATGGTTTTCAATGTAAAAAGAAGATTTTCAACATCAGACCTGACGACATTATCATCATCCTCAGTGACATACTGATAATATAATGGAGCACACCGTAGTATTAATAATTATAAGTTAACGTATAAATCAAAGCGCCGTGTATTGAAATATAATGTGAAATGAAATATCAGACAAATGAGATGTACGTACACACACATAGATGCATAGAGACAAAAAAAATGTTACGAGCACGAATAAGATAATAAGACGATGTTTGTTATTTTAAGTCCCACCTCCTTTAGTAAATCTTTATTATGTGCATAATATCACCACGGCCTAGAGAGAATGATGAATAGTAAAAAATGCACTTACGTAGCGCGCATCAGGCGTGCTATCTGAAGCAAATGAACGAATAAACATGAAAAACAAAATATATATTTTATAAATTCAGAGAAAGAGAAGAGTGGGAAAATATATAAATCTATCCATATCAATCATGGTCTCGCTTTCTATCTGTTTTCTGATCATTCAGCGTGTCAAAAAGAGAAATTCTTTTCAGTTGAATGTGATCTAGTGTGTTGTTTCAGTACAAAAATTCAAATTTTCGAGACAATAGAGCATATGACCGCCAAAAAAATGCCATTTATGCATGAGAGAAACTGAATACAGAAGCAAAACAAAAGAGCATGAAAAATATATATATAATTACAGGGACCGTTTTGGATCATGCACAATAAGGATGAAGAGAAGAAAAAAAACCGAACCATAGAATGTCCTACGTTCAACCAAAGAGTGAAAGAAACAGTGGAATAAATAGTCGGCTCGTTTTTCATGAGTGTTGCACCATGAATTGCAGTCAAAGTGCATTTTTTCTCTTTCTCTGCTCTCTCGAGAGAGCGTTTACATGTGTGAAAGAAGCATTTTCAAAACATTGGTTTTCATTCTATACCTTTTGTTTTGTTTTTCATCATTTCAAGTTCATGTGTTCATATTTTACTTCTTTCAGTTTTTTTGTTATTCTTCGCTTTTTTTTACTGTTGTATATTCTTAACCTAATAACGCATGTGAAAACACCTAGAACGTTTGCTGTGCAACTATAGATCGATGCCTATTCTATGTGTTCGGTGTTCGGTTGCAGATCAACCTTCAAACTATGTCCGTGCCGATTATGTATTGACACTACGCGCGCCACTTTGTACTTTTACCGCAATATCATTATTATCATTACGTACGTCCCTTATTTTTTTTTTTTTGTTATCTTTCTTTCTTTCTTTGATATTGTGTCTCTTTTTTTTCTCGAGAAAATTCGTCGATGTATTCAGCAGTCTTATTATTTAATTTCATTCTATGTTGTACTCATTGTTATTATTATCTCATTATGCCTGCGATATATGTATATTTTCAAACGATTTTCGTCCAAAAACAACAACATAAAAACGAAAAGAACCATCAATATACTTTGCTCAAACAATAGGTAAATATTTACTTCGCTGATGGTTTTTCATGGACTCGTCTTCAAAAAGAAAAAAAAATCTTTCTCAAGTGTGCGGTTGTCATCTTTCTGATGACAAAAAATACACACACACACTCACGTCCAAGACCCCGAAAAAATGATAGTCGTTGTTCTTTATAGGTTTTTCCCTTTTTTGAATCATTGCGCACTGTCTTTCAGAATTTATAGATAAAGAAACGCAAAGAAGAAAGAGAAAAATCTTAAATCGTACGAGATTATAGACATTATTTCGTCAGATTTAGATACGAACTGCTCTTGTTAATAATCTGTTAATATGTGTATCTTTTTTTATTCTTTGCCGTGTGCATTGCGATATATGTATCTTGTTTGATCTTTTTTGGGAAAATGCCGCTATCAATGAGTGAAAATTGGGGCCTCTCGTATCTAATATATTGGCTCTATTCGATCTATCGCCTTGGCTCGTTCTATACTCGAGATTTGTTACACATGATACGATCGACGGTGCACAAGGTGGCTCTTTTTTGCTTTTACTCTCTTTCTCCCTCTTTCGGCTCTTTTGTACTCTCTCTGCCCAAAATCGTGAGATGTATAATCTATAATTGTCTGTTCATTTCGATCGATAATCAAACAAAAATTCTTTCTAATAAAAAAAAAAACTTGCATTTCAAGATGAAGTTGAGGTGCAAGCACCACTTGTTAGCAATATTCAATATTTCACTTTATAAAAGTGTTTGCCATTTTTACCCTTTTTTAAATAGAAGAATTGCTGAAGATGCATAGAATAGAATACCATCGAATGCAATTTATTTCATCTTTTCCGAAACAAATCCGAAAAAAATACCGTCACATTTCCCGAAAAAGAAGAAGTAGTACACATTGAAGTGTGATTTGGTTTCATTTACACTAGGCTTATACAATTTGAATGCATTTGGCAGGACACAATCAGACGAAAAGAACGAAAGACTTGGAAATTTCCTTTTCGTTCGTTCTACCATTCATTCATTTTCTTTCCATCGGGCACATGCAATGCAACATACAACAGCCGTGCATCAGTGCGTAGAAGCATCGAACAAATGTGCTGTGTGCTGTGTGTATGCCGTCATATGAAGCACAGAGCACACAGACAATATATGTACAACAACCACCAAGCGAAAACCTTCTGTTCTGTATGGGAGAAGAGAGAGACCAGGCTAACAATCGAAGACGGTAACTAAATTTAGTTGTTTACAAACATTCGTGACGAACGGTTGTGAAGCGAAAGAGACGAGAACCGACAGAATAAGCGCGTCTTTGTGGTATTCGTAATCGCATATTTTTTGCCGATGTAAACGTGGGTTCTGTGAGAAATTTTCGAGTTTTAAATTAAAAAATGTACGAGTTTTAAAACGAATATTCAACGGTCGACTATATTTCATTAGCTCATCGTTAAACTATTTGCTTAGATTATACTTACAAAGTGTCGGCAATTTAATTGGAAAAAACGCAAAAAGAAGCAAAAAAAATCGTTCATAATCTAAATAAACAAAGTCGAAGATTTTGTTTTGATTACAAAACTATTAGAAGAAGATTAGTTCTTTGCCTATACACATTGCATTTGATGCACTTCTTTATCGAATGTGTAAATAAATAGTTTCAAGATCATCTTAATTACATTAGATGAAAAATATCTTCAGATTTACAGCTGCTCTCTGATCGTCGTTTTTAATTAATTCTAGAGCATCAACAAACTAGAAAATTTAATTAAGGAGAAGCAGTACGATCTCTTGCTCTCGACACATTGCATTTGCAAAAGATTCGATCATCTTTTCATTTAGTTTAGAGTGTTTGTGTGAAATACAGAATAGAACCCGAAATGCAAATAAGATCAAATTGGGACTAGAAAATACACACACATAAATGTCTAGATAGACAATGATAGAGACGTTGGGAATATAGAATCTTGTGAATTGAAAATACTCAGTCGGTTTTGTCGCAATTTGAATCGTGCATATTTTTTGAATGACAACCGATTTTCAGGACATTCGTTGCATTAATCATATTTAAATATTGTGTAAAAGCATTCGCACAAGACTAAATCCATTTTGTGGCGTAACCGTTTTTCTTTTTAAAATTTTTCGATTAAGAAAAATTTACGATTGTTCAACGGTGGCTAGACAAATACACACCGTCAAAAGGAAGCAACAAAAAGTAAATAGCACAGACAAAGAACGTATAGAAGTGATATGTGTTTCAGTTACGCATAAGTGATAACGTGTGGTGTGGAAAAACGGAATGTGAATGGTGAAACGAAGAAAAATATTTGAAACGAGAAATTTTCACAGTGTGTCTGATGTGACAAAATTTACAGCCAAAGGAAATTCAAGTTAATTTGTGACGTCGTCGCACCAGAACATAAAAAGAGAGCCCATTGCAAATTACGAACGACAACGATCGAAGGAGAAAGTCCAAAGCGAAAACACCGTAATGAGAATGGAATAATAATCGTAAAAAAAAGAACAGAAAGGAACTCTCGAAAATTAGACGTGAAGTCATAAAATGTGTCACCATTGAAACTCAAGCGAAACGAAACACTTGGTATAGCGCAACGCATCGCCAAAAAAAATATATCATAGATCAAGATCAAAGGGTTCGTTTCATAAATATTAATTTATCCAAGGTATGTGTAATATTGCTCTCTATTTCTCTTCACCATTTCATATGCATTCTATCTCTGTCTTCATTTTCTTTTGATTATTTTTATGATGCGAATAAATCTAAGTACGCAATCAAACTCGAACTGAGCACAAAATGATCAGTTAGCCTTTGCAACTTACCGAATGTTTGTTTGTTTTGAAATCTGAGAGACATGAAGAGAATGTGTGAATTGATATATGTCTGCGCTGTCGTTTATGTAGCGTAACCAAAAGTGTATCTTTGGCAGTAGAGCAGAACCAGAAAAAAAAACACAAGCTACGCGGCCATATAGATCTAAAACTAAGTCCTTTACATTTATGCGGATTGTAATTGGTAAAGTATTATTCACTTTTTTGTCTGTGTGTGCAAACCACAACGACCGTTCATTCAAAAATACGCAAATAGGTTTTATGTTTTCGTCTTTTTATTTGCCGCTCTCTCCCTCTCTCTATCCCTCATTTCGGCTAACTAATTGTTTGTAATTAGGCATTTGAATATGTGTTGAGTTGCCATCGTCTAGGATCATTCGACTCCATAGTCATTGTTGCCTCTCTCGTCTATAACCATATTTTTCGGGCAGCGATAATAACACACAAATCATCTGTCATTTTTCTTAACTTCCATACACATTATACCGTAGTACGGTGGTATACCCTCAATATTATTTCCATTCTATTTCGTTTTTTTTTTGGATTGCACACTTTAAGCGGTCAAACGAGAAGCATTTTAAAAATGCATTCAAATATACCAAAGCATAAGCACACTCACACATAGTTTGATTTTCGGGTTGTGTATGTGTGTATGATGAACGTAATCGCTTGTAATAATGTTGATAAATAGTATCCTTTGCACAATGGGCTAAGCATTAAAAATGCAACATCCATCAGTTCGTGCATATGCGCGCATTTTGATGCCAAACACATCTGAAAGCCACATTAATTTACAACGTCACATTTCTTTCTCTTTCTCTCTCTTGCCTCGTCTCCCGTATTCATTTCATTCACTCACATCTAACTTGCTCTCGCACTCACACTTTGCCCCAAAAAACAATTGCATAAAAAAAAGGAGCAAAATTGATGGTGTGCGCTCTTATCAAATGAGCCGCTTTTGTTTTCGAGAGGTATTAATTTTTCGCGAAATAGAACAGCAACCACAACACATAAAACCAACAACAATTTTGATCATACTCTCTTTTGTTTGTTCGAAAATTAACGGGAAAAATGATGGGTGGCAAAATGAGAAATGCAAAGCGCCAGAAAAATACTTTGATGGTAGTTGTGCCACTTATTAAATATGTATTTTACATAATTTGCTTCCGTATAAATTAGAATTTAAATAATTTATGATGCCACAAGCGCATCACAATGAATCAAAAACTATGCATCAGTTTTAGATTGAAAACAATCTCCTTTGAGACAGTTGCTTTCTCGAATAGTTTGAATAGCAAAAACTTTTTCGTTTAAAATCTACAAGATGGTTTTACAAACCACCAAGTTCTCTCAATGCATCATGATCTAATGAACAATTTTCAATTTGAATGTCTGCGCATCTGGATGAAATGCATTGTGAAGAGAAGAGATAAAAAAATAACGATTTTCAAACTGGACAATCGAAAAAGTACATAAATATTTTGAAAAATAATAATAACAATGCGAGTAAAAGAAGGTTCGGCCAGTTCATGTTTCTTTTCGAAATAATAAGGACGATCACAGTTTTGTGAGGTGGAAATAATTTGAAGAACAATTCAAGAGCCGTTTTGTTCAATAATAGGCTGACTAAAATGAAAGATAAACAAAAAAAAATAATCTTGCAACGGCTCAATAATTCTAAACGAAGAAAGAAAAGTAAACATTTTATTCCATTTGACTTTATTTACGTCGCATTGTTAAATCTAATCAAGATTAGCCAGATTAAAGGAAACACACACAGACAAACTCAGATTGAAACTGGGTAGCAAAATTTAGTTATCGACTAAACTTCATATTTCGAAATACGATTAAAATTCTATACGTTTCCGTTTCATACAATGTACGATGCGAGCGAGTGAAAAAAAAGTGATTCTATTGTTAATGTTCGAGGGGTATTAAAATTTGTGTGCACATTTCAAGGTTTGCATTATGCACAAATCATGATTTTGTGCAAAGTATTTTATTCACTCTCACACACATACACTCACGACTTACTCTACCTCTCCATACTTGTTGTTCCGTTGAACGCGTTGTTCACTTCACAAAACATACACACACACATACGCACAGTCATTCTCTCAAATAGAAAGTTCACTTTTTATTCAACATGAAAATTACATTTTACGTATATTTTTTTTAAAATTCTCATCTATACAAAAAATCGTTAAATACTGTAAATGAACCAAGTAATTGATATGAGGGTTGACATATTGTGCTTTTCCGATCCTTTTTCCGTTGATGTTTCCGATCCCCGAGTGAGTAATTTTGATTAGATTGATTTCTGTTTCACATCAGGAAGAAAGTTAATTCGGAGTTTTTCTTTTCTCGCCGCTCTCGCTCTCCCTTCCTCATCCACTCGATGCCAGAATTATAATTTGTTCAATTTTGTGGTGATATCATCTAAATGACAATATAACACTGCCACTGCCTTCACACTGCTCCCTATTTCGTTGTTTGCCAAACAATATGTTGCTGTATCAAGATTTCCGCATGTAAACTTTGACAACAAAAATTACGCGTATTTGTTAAATTGAATTTTGCAGTTATTCGGATTTATTTTTGTTGCTTGTTTGTTTGATTCATATTTAAATCAGATCAGGCGTACCATTGTAAAAGCGATTACTTTTTTCACTGACATCGACTCGTTCGCAATTCATTAAAATTAAGTTGCAAAGTCGTTTCAATTTGATGTAATGTATGCACAGAGAGAGAGACGAGCAGAGCATGGCAAGTCTTGTGCTATTATTACAAATGCTTCTGGATTAAATTTGATCACAATAGCAAACAAATGAATGAATTGTAATAAGTGCAATTGATTCAGATTCGGAGTCTTTCTCTCCTATTTGCTCAAAGTAATTTCTGCAAATCAGCACATCTTGTAAGTAGTTTTGCTCTATTCGAATTATTGATCAATCAAAGTCGTAGTAAATCAGACATTTGCTTAAATTGAATAGAACCCAGAGATGCGACTTAGTCGTACAATAATAAGAACAAGTGTAATGACCATTGGGTTATTCTCTTAACTACAATGTATGTATACAGTGGCTTTAATTAAAGCATATTCCATTCAGAATTGTCTCATTACATTTGCATGTGCCGGCGGGCCGGTTGTTTGATTTATTTTTGTGGTAAAATTGAAAATAGTTTATTGTCTTTTTCGTTCTCAAACAAACCGCAACCAGGGGCGAAAAAAAGAAGAGAATAGCTATCTTTCAATAATAATAATAATAATAATAATAGCTAATAAATGGCTGAAAAGCCATGTCTCAATGTAAAACCGACTTCTTTCAAATAAAAACACGGACAAAGATTCCTTTGTAAGACCTGAGAGAATGACATCAAAAGCAGCAGCATCATCATCATATCATCAACTTTCGTTGTGTGTTGTGATCGATTTCATTTCAGATCTTCTTTTGTCATTTCATTTAGCCTGAAAATGATGTTAATACCTCTCAATCTCTTCGTGTTTCGTTCGTTTTTTTCTCTTCTCATTTCACTCTTGGCGTTTGCTTTTTATCACATTCAATTGCCCTTCGGTGATTTATATAGCAACTAACCGACTTAAAAAGAAATACGGAAAAATACGACACTAGATGAAGAGAGAGAGAGAGAGAGAGATAGCAAGAATGTATGTGTGTGAATAGTCATTGAGCTAAATCATTGAAAAAGATCCAGTTGCTGTGGTAGCAGTAATCAGTAGTTCAAGTTGGGCTCGGCCGGTGGAGAGAAAAAAAAAGATCATGGTTTTGTGTCTCTTTGTGTGTATTAAAGCACAAAGTAAGCTTAGGTGCAGTCAAAATATGTCGTATTCATCGCTCTTATTTGTGTGTATATATTTTGGTGTTTTTCATAAAAACCAAAACATCACACACATAACGCACGGTATTGTTGCTATTTTACGACTTTTGACATGAACGGTCAAACGATTCGGGATAAACGAAATGAAAAAAAAAAAACTACAAATTGTATGTGAATCCCTGCACTTACCAATTTCCAACGAACCACACATTCAAACAAATCCAAGCGAGGGAAAGAGAATGATGCAGTAGCAACAGCAGCAGAGTAAAAAAAAGAAAGAGAACAAAAATAGACACAGCAATAATTTCATGTAGTACGTAGCGTGATTTTCTTTTGTAATTCTTGAGCTGCTCTTTGTTGGCTGGAGAGATAATTTTCGTTTTTATGGCTTTTCTATCTATTCTCGGTACAAAATGATAAAAATAAAACAAAAATTCATGTGAAAGCACGATATGTCGTGTGAGAGAGTGAGCGAAGGGAACAAAGATGAGGTTTTTTAATTCCATTAACCGACAAAATGATGATGCTAATAAATGCTCGGTAAATAGCATTCTCTATTCATTGAAAACCATAGAAGCGAAAGACAAGCGGCTAAACTATTCAAATGGAAAATATATAAATATATGTGTATGTGTGTGTGTGTGCGTAAGAGAGAGTATATGTTGTGGGGACATTCGATTCTCAGTGGCAACGCACAGAATATTATTTGTTTATCGAATGTGTTCATCCATTGAAGTGTATTTAGTGCTTGCGGGCTTTTGTACACGAAGATTCCTCTATATTCCTTTCTTTAAAAAAAATATCAGATGGTTTTTTTTTTCTTATCGTCATCGCTGTCGATTTGAATTTGTTTTTGTTTTCGCACAAATCCAATGCTTTTCGAAAAGTGGATATGTATTTCGGCAAATCATTTGCATTGGGATTCTTTGATCTCATGAAATCTTTTGTACCGATTCCAACGCACAACAAAATGTTTGCTATAAACGTACAATCTATTTTATCTATTTGATCATTTGTGCTTCTTAGAATCATAACGAATCGAGTTTTCCTTTCAATTTTCCATCGCATTCGAAAATGCCAGAACATTTTTCCGAGAACCGTTCCCATTTTGGCAAACGTCCTTTTCTCCTTGACAGAATCAATAAATGAACCCCCGCATCTCTTGAAAAAAAAAACATCTCGTCAAAATTTCATTTTGACTTTTAACAAAACGTATAATCAAATATCATATTTGACTAGATGTAGTCACGCAAAACGATGAGATGCTGTGATAGTGCATACACAGAAAGATTATTATTCATATTTTTTTTTATGTAAGATGAAAAAAAGGAAAATAAAATCCAATGTATTATCTCGAAAGTGATTTTGCTTTTAAAAAAAAACCTGCAAATTGACTCCGATGAAAAGTCATAAGAACAACGAACATCGCGAAAATGTTTCATTAATAATTTTGAAGAGATGTTATCTCTCTTGAGAAAGATAGAACATCTTTGTTGGTTTCTTTTTCGTGGAAAAAGAAGAACAGGAACTGAAAACCATCAAGAGCAACGACAAATGCAACGAACACTATCACAATATAATATTATATATATGTGTAATTTGGCCAATTTATCACGCGTAACCTTTTGAAGGACTTTTTCTAATTCTGCTAACCACACATAACTGTGCTGTGAAACAAAAACAAAACTAAAAAAAACCAAACGACACAACATTTCCACACTCCCCTCATATTTTAAGTTTATGCTCAATTCTTTCTTTTCTCGTTCTTTTTTTTCACAGCAGCAGCAGCAGGACAACCACAGAAAAAAACAACAGTGTTGAAAGTGATACATGTTAGCGAATTTTAGATGAATGTGGTGCATCGTGTGATTGCCATGGCACTTGTGATTTCCATCCGTACATCGATGAGTGCACCCTATCACATACACAAACACACATACACCAGTCAATGAACTTGCACTGCTCACACACAAAAAAAACACACACACTGATGACAAGCGTTATCAATTTCAATCCGTACAACGAACAACAAGAACAAAAAAAGAAAAGTGCCCAAGTACCGAAGAAGTGTGCAAAAAAGTTTTGTGTAATTTTTCAAACAGCAAAAACTTTGTGTGCTCGCCAAACATTCAACGCTGAGAATTCAATTCAATTCAAATGAAAAGAAACGGAAAAATGTACGCGAACGAAGAACAAAAAGAGTAAATAAATAGAGAGAGAGAGCAGAGAGAAATTTGTGTATATTATTTCTTTACAAAATCAAAAAATTGTAGCGAAAAAGAAACTTGATGCAAACGGACAAAGTAAACGATTGTGATTGAAATGAAGGCTTACTAGTTAAAAAAAGGGACACGATTCAAAGATAATAAAATACAACGCGAGAGAAAAGTGAAAACAATTACAACAAAGATTCTGAAGTTCAATTATCGAAGGAGCGATACCAGTGAAGAGAACACAGCACACCGAAAAAAAACAATTTTAAAGTTTGAAAGTTTGCTGCATAGATTGAATAGCACACATTGATAAACATGGAAGTTTGGATGCGTTGGAAAAACAAATGTTGCGGCAACAATATAATCGTTGCATTGCTCATAATTACAACACTCATTGCACACAATAGTTACAGTGTGCATGGTGTACTACAGGGCGTCCCATCATGGATGTAAGTAGATTTATGACCTTATATTTGCTTATTGTTTTGCATGCATCTCTTTTTCATATTCGGTTGCTGCATATTTCAGCATGTATATACAACGTGCTCGATTCGAAAATGATTGATGACGTGCAATCGAAAATTTTGCTTAAAATATAACACATACGAGTAAATTTTGATTAAAGTAAACGGAAGATAGAAATAGAAAAATAAAGTTTAGAATTTCAATATACGCAGACGTTATTCAAGTGAATGCCCCAAAGCTAACAAGAAAATTATGTACTCACAATTTACCATTGAATTGTGATCATTCGTTTTGTGTCAAATACAGCGTAAATATATGTATATATACAAATAATCATCGTGGATTGATTTATCGATTTTGTTTTTATGCGCACAGCGCGCGAGAAACAATTTTAATTTTCAAGTACAATAGTAAAAAAAAATCAAATATCATTTAAGTAGCAACAAGAAAAAAAGGCAAGACAATAAATCTTAAGCATATGTGATAAGTTTGGTGGCAAGATCGAAGAAGTGCGCAGGGAAAATCGATTAATTGAGTTCATGATTTGAGAATTAAAACAACATATTAAACAAAAAAAAAACAAGACACCATGAAACTCATTTAAAGTAATCGAGAAATAAGACCCATTTGGCGCCGCAACCTGAAGCTATATTCCATTATCAATCTTTATATGTATAAGTAGTTAATAATGAACAAAAAAACGACAGGGACATTAAAGAGAAAATTCAAATTGGAAGAAGGACGGTCGTGAATGGTTGAAATGGTTTATTATACTATCGCAATACTAGTGAGCATAAACGGTCAGCAGACACAATGAATACAGAACTGATAACACTTAAATACCTGTGTATTGCTTGTCTAGTCAACATTTCAAAATTCAGTCGTTCGATATCATTTGACACATTACAAAGTAGGTACAAGGAGAAAGAGAGAGAGAGACTGTCCTCCAATTCCAGTATCAAGAATACTCGAAGTACAAAAAAAAAGTGTACCTTGAAGTTACCATCACGAATGCATACGATAAATACAGTTTTATGAGCGCGCATCGAGATTTCGTTGGTATTTTAATGCAATCGGTCGAATGAGGAAACAACATATTATTTTCGTCCATTACCTTTTTATCTCTGGAAAATTGGTTGGCATTTTTTTCGTTTTTTTTTGGATGGAATTTAAATTTTTATTTCACAGTTCTTACCATTGCTGCAAGAAAATTAATGTGATCAATGATCATATGAAAATCATACGCATTGATTTAGTTAAATGAAAAAATATCGATGAACGCAAAAGCATTTAACTAATGCTTTTCAGATATGTTTAATGTTTATGTATGTAAAAAAACAAACATGATGACTTTTTTTTATCATGATGGTGATGCTTACGGTAATTTTATGTATGTCGGAGTCATTTTATATTATTCGTTTGATGTGATCGGTACGAGACAAACAGACGGAATGGCCGACTTCAATCCGTGTTAATATAATTAATATAATGTGCTGGCATAAGTGGTGATGTGTCGTTATATTCACACATAAGTGTGTCGCCATCATCAAGTCAGATCGGCCAGACATTTGACGATGAATAATGAGACTGATACATTAGGAGACGAACATACATAGATAGAAAGAGAGCACAACATCGAAGCAGAAAAAGTGTGTAAATAACTTTTAATAACTGAATTCGTTCGAACAACAATAACGACGACGGTGCAAATGGTTTGAGCCCCTTTCCAACCATTACAACACCACCTTTGGTTCTGCTGGAAATGAAGCGCCTCCAATTCGCTTACTTCTCATGATTTTATTTATCTGCCTTTTTTCATCTCATCGTCGTCATTTTAATTTTATGACTAAAGACCATTACTGGATGTTCTTTCTGTGTGTCTCTGTGAAATCGAGTGAAAACGTATATAAATATTTTAAATGGAATCCATAAATTTATTCCGGCCAAAAATGCATAATAATAAATCCACTAATTAACATGTTTGTAAATATTAAACAAAAACGAAACGAAGGCGAACCGAAATAATGCAATGCTATGTTAAATCGGGAATGTTAAGAATGAACGATCGTTTAAGCGATCAACTTGATTTTTATTGGATCATTTGCCGTATGGCGATGGAACAGGAAGCCGACTCTATACCCATTTTAAGGCACTCACTCACACTCTTTTTACCATCTATAAATCGCACATTTTTAAAAGCAGAAATGAATGAAGCCCTAAATGAGACACCATATAAATCTCTTTGCATTGTTATTTTCAGAACCCAAAGAAAAAGAACAAATTCTTCTTTGAATGCAACAAACTTTGTGTTTTGATGTCACACTTTTGTGAATTGCTTTTACAAGCAGGTGCATATATTTCGAAGCAAATGCACATTAAATGAAATGAAAATAACCAAACAAAAACATTTTAACACAACAACAACAACAACAACAACAAAATCCTTTGCATTTGAAACGAGCAATAAAAACGTGTGTGCACATATTTTTCTTGTTACTGTATTATTTCGTCGCTCCTAAAAAAAGGAACCCAAAACAAACGAATTTATTTATAGCTGTTTAATTTCAAGATGCATCTCTACTATGTGAGTGTATTCATCGGCATAAATGACTCAATTCGAGTGACCAAACTGATTTTCATCTATAGCTGAGTCTTTTTTTTTTACCAATTTCTGTTCCTTTTTTATTTGTCGGCCAACTGATGACGACATTCAACCGAATTACCTGCTGCGATATTATGACACCCGTGAAAACTATTATACAATGTCAATATTACCGAATGGATATTCCTACCGAAGTTCCATTCATTGACAACGGCGGCTGCAAGGTTTTCAATAGATAAATCGACAACTACAGTAGTTTCATAAATTGATCACAAAATTCATTTACCATAAAGTCCATGGATTGGTTGAATTCAATGGAGATGGCATGGCGATGCTCGCACCTGGACACCCTTTTTTTGTTATCAAAAAACTTATATTACTAAATGTTTGTCTTTTTGCACCAATGTTCTTTATCCGATTCTATAATTTATGTTTTTATCAATTCCATGAATTGTGAATAATAATCAAAAACGACTTAGCCAGCGAGTGAGAATGAAAAAGGAAGAGGAATTGATTACAAACTAAGAAAAGACCCACTGCATGAAATATTCTCAAAATTGGCACTAAATAAAATACACGTATACATATAATCATCTGAAATGGCAATAAAATTAAGACGGTATATTTTACATTTGAAACGAACAAAAAAAAATATAATAAGAATGGCAGAATGTTCGCTTGCAAATTGGCAAGATAGATATTTTCCCTCGGTGAACGTTCGGCACGCACACACTTAGACCCAACAATGTAATGTAAATCTCTCACGGCATGAGCAAAATATTAATTTGCGACGATGACGATGACGATGATGATGATGATGGTGACGATGATGATGATGATGGTGACGATGACAAAAAAGCACAGATCTTTTTTTCCTGTTTGTTACCCGGTCGATGTGTGATTTGGTTCTTTCTCTTTCGCCGTTTTTTGTGTGTATATATTGCACAATAGTGCAATAATGCATCAGAGACGCGTTCGTTACCTACTTTTCGATTAATGCGAGCATAAATTAAATAGTTTATGTTTACGTGCTTTTTGGTTGATTGTTGAAAGAGCCATTAACGATAGTTACGTTCATTTGTTGTCACCGCATGGATAAATGTGGCCCGTATGCCAACCTTTGTCATTTGATTACTTTTCCAACTGATTTTATTGTGGCATATGCACACACACACATTACACCGATATACTCTTTTAACAATTGATACGGTGCGTTGTTGTATCTCGTCTTGTGTTCATGCATGCATTTTTATGGAAAAATTTCAATTAAAGACTCAGCGCGAAAAACTGTTTTTTATCTGTGTTGATTTCAGATGACAAATGCAATAAATATTATTAACTATAATGTGAATATAAAATGTGTATGCACATTTTATGGAAATACGCGTTTTGTGATTTCCATAATAGCAAGCGAGAAAGAAGGAGGAAATAAAGCTTTTAAACCACAGCAACGGTTTTGACGGAAAAGAAAAAGTGTGAATTATTCGCTGATGAAAGATAGAAATGTTAAAAGAAAAGACAAGAAAATTGCACGACTCTCCGAATGGATTTAAAAAAAAACACATACACACTTAATCGGAAAGCAGTGGTAATATCGTAATCCTTGTACAGGAAACGCTAATTTTCAAGTTAATTACAATGTTGAATTTGTTTTTTGGTTGATTAAAGTTCCGTGTAATTGGTTTCATCGGTCGAAAATGGAAATGTAGAATGAGTGTTTGTTATTTATTTATTTTGTGCTTGCCAAATGTGAAATCAAAGAAATGCGCACAAAGAGAGTTGTAGTAAGTGTCCAATCAGCACATACACATGCTAAACCGCTAGAAACGGTTTGTGTTGGCATTGCAAATTGCTTTTCTAGTCTTGGCAACAGCAGCAACAGCATTTGTACACGAAGCAAAACACACACACATGCACAAGAATGTGAAAAACACACCTAAGTAAATAGAAAAATGCTGTCAAAGAATCCCAACCGAAGAAATTTTCTTTCATTTGAATCGAAGCGTATCGAATATGCTCTTTGTACCATTTTTTTTTTTTCAAATGTTGTATATGTGTGTGTTTTTTTCTCCTTTATGCTATTTAATCAGTAAAAAGAAAATATGAGCGAGTACACGATAACAACGAATGGACGGTAAGTTGAAAAGATCACGCACATTGTAAACAATTCAGCGAACTAGTTAATGCGAACTAGTTTCCGTGCCACATCTCATCGAAACCGAACAACACAGTTACAAAATGTATTGATGCTGATTCAATTGAATGAAAGATTTGCGAAAAATGAAAAGAGAGATGGGAAAAGGAGAAATATATAAAAAGAGAAATGTTACAATTTTTTATTTGCATCCTGTTGATTTTGCGAAACGATCAAATATTTCAAAA